AAAGAGGAGAGCGCGCGAGCGAGCGGACCCCCCCTCCCCTCCCCATCTCTTCCAGCCAATGCAGAGCGCCGGGCGAGCCAATGCCTGGAGGCTTGGCCCCTCCCCGCTCGCCGGCTGCAGGAGCTCGTGGCGTGGTGGTGGTAGGGGGGGTGTGTGGAGGGAAGGGGGAGCGATGTCCCGGGCTTGCGGCCAGTCAGAGGAGGAGGAGGAGGAGGAGGAAGAAGAAGAAGGTACGAGGAGGATCCGGGCATCAGTCTGCCTGGGGAGCGCCTGACAGGCACTTCTCGAAGATTTAAAAAAAAAACCAAAAAACTGGTTAGGATCGAAGGGGTGGGAAAACCCATCTTCATCCCAGCTACAAAAAGCGAGTTCTTGGATGAGAAGCGAAAGGTCTTCAAAGAAATAACCAGAAAGTCCAGTTGCCACTTTTTTTGGGTGGGGGGGAAGGATCTTTGGAACAACTTGGATTGACCTGGATGAATGAGACTCCCCATACCCGCCTTCTTTAAAAAAAAGGGGGGGGGTGGGGTGGGGAGGCCCGGATTGCCCAGGCTGTCCCTGAAAGGCCTGCGGGAAGCCAGGACAACTTCTGGGCTACTTGTGGAAGAAAAACTCTGGTGCAGGCTTTCGGGGGGGGGGGGGGGTAGGAGAGGTGTGCAATTTGGGGAAAGGTGTTTGTTTTTTCAGCAGTTATCACTTCCACTCTCGCGCCCCCCCCCAAAATAAAGGTAGTCCTTGATTTACAACGGTTCTTTTAGTGGCCGTTCAAAGTTACAAGGGCCCTGAAAAAAAGGGACTTATGACCGTTTTTCGCACTTAGGATCGCTGGGGCATCCCCGTGGTCAGGAGATCAAAATTTGAATGCTTGGCACCTGACACATATTGATGATGTTGCAGTGTGCCCCGGGGTCATGTGATCCTCTTTGGCGACCTTCTGAGAAGCCAAAATCAACGTGGAAGCCTGATTCACTTAACAACCGTGGCAAGGAAGGTTGTAAAAATGGGGCAAAATTCACTTGACAAATGTTTCGCTTAAGCAGCAGAAATGTTGGGGTCAATTGGGGTCGTAAATTGAGGATTACCTGTCATCTGTACTAATAGTAAGTGGATTTGAGTTGATGGCTTCTGCCACTGCAGGGAAACAGTGTGTTCCCCTTTTGCACCTTCACAACAATCCTTCAAGGTAGGTTAAACTAAAGTAAATACATGACATCCACCTTCGCGCAGCATGCTTATTTGTAATACGGTGTTGTAGCCCGTCAGTGGCCTGTGCAGCTAGTAGTTGATTCCGACAGCGAGGAGGCAGGTATGGTGCTGCGCCAGCAGCCTGTGCAGCTGGCACTCAAGTCGGACAATGAGGCTGGAGAAGATGTAGTGCCAGAGGCAGGGATTCAGCCAGGGCCTTCAGAACCTCCAGAAGCTTCCATAAGTGAAGAGGATGAAGATGCACGGGCGCGCAAAGCTGCCAAAAGGCAGGAGTGGCTCCTCAGGAGGAGGTCTCCTCAAGAGTAAGGCTTGGGGCTAATTGGCCACTCCCTTAGCCTATTTAAAGAAGGACGATGACTGAGGCAATTTGCAGGGAACAACTTAGTTCACTCTCCTTCGCGTCTTGATCTTAGTTCTTTTATCAGTTTCCTGCAAATTGCTTCTGGGCTTTCTGCCAATCATAGTAAGATTACGATTATTTATTCTTTGGATTCTTGTAGGCTGTTAAGAAAGTTAATTAACAGCCTCTGTTTGAAAAAAGACTGATTTAATTTAGTAAACTAAGGTTTATACAAACTTTGTGTGTGCTGCGTTCTTTGGGGTCCGTAGCTGGGGTAGAACATACAGGTAGTCCTCAATTTACAATCATTTGTTTAGTAACTGTCCGAAGTTACAACATTGACAAAAGTGACTTACACCCATTTTTCACACTTACGAACATAGTAGCATCCCCACTTTCATGTGATCTAAATTTGGATACTTGGCAACTGGTATGTATTATGACAGCTGCACTGACCTGGGGTCACATGATCACCATTTGTAAGCTTGCCAGCTGACTTCTGACAAGCAAAGTCAATGGGGGAAGCCAGATTTCCTTAATGACCACGTGGTTTGTTTAATAACTGCAGTGATTTGGGGCAAAGCTCATTTTATAACTGCCTTGCTTAGCAATGGACATGTTGGGCTCAATTGCAGTCATAAGTCAAGGACTACCTGTATATGATTTGACTTAGCTAGGCAGTATTTATTTGTTAGAATTAACTGCAGTTAAATTTCCTGCGTAGTTCCTGGCTATGGAAAGTAAGTACAGTAAATCCTGAGTATACCCTCAGAGCTGGAGATGATCCCAGAATTACAAAGAAGCAGAACCATCAAAGATTCAAACCACATGCAGGCTGAGCTCACAAAGTTCATTTACGGTGTCAAATAAAGGCTTAGCAACTTTACTTGCATCATATGAAAACTTGGATAGGTTTTGCTTTGAAGCTTAATATGTGCAAATCGGTGGTGGGTTTAAAATTTTTTTACTATCCATTCTGTGGGTGTAGCTTGGTAGGTGCGGCATGGCTTGGTGGGCATGGCAGAGGAAGGATACTGTAAAATCTCCATTCCCACCCCAATCCAGGGGAAGGTTACTGCAAAATCCCCATTTTTTCCCAATCAGCTGGGACTTGGGAGGCAGAGAATAGATGGGAGCGGGGCCAGTCAGAATTTTTACTACCAGTTCTCCGCTACCGGTTCTTCAGAACTGGTCAGAACCTGCTGAAACCCACTTCTGGTGCAAACCCAGCCTGTTTGGTTATTTCAGTTAATTTATGTAAATCCAGAAAAAGTCTGAATTCAGGAATCGGCTCTTCTGTGCTCTGGATTACTGTTGTAAAATGTTTGCATTCCTACACTCCAGCTGGGAACCCAACACTTTTCAAATTACACACATTCAGAAAGCCATGTAGCAACTCACAGTTCCTTTATCTGGGAACAGAAAAACGTTCTTTTCTGTACCTGATGTGGCATGGATTCTTCCTTCTTGTGTACAGGTAATCCACAATGTGTGACTACAGTTGGGACCAGAATTGCTGTTGTTAAGCAAGGGTCTTTTTAAGTGAGTGGCGCTCAATTTTGTGACCTTTTTTTTGCTGTGGTTGTTAGGTGAATCGCTGCAGTTGCTAAGTGAATTATGCAGTCGTTAAGTGAATCTGGCCTCCCGCATTGACTTTGCTTGTCAGAAGCTGGCTGGGACAGTTGCGAATGGTGATCGCATAACCTTGGCATTCTGCAGCTATCAAAAATACATGCTGGTTACCAAATTTTAATCATGGGACTGTGGGGATACTGTGGTGGTCATAAGTCTATGTGTAAGTGTAAGTAGTAAGTGTAAAAACCATGTATAAATCACATTTTTCAGTGCCAATGTAACTTTGAATGGTTGCTAAACAAATAGTGGTAAGTTGAAAGTATGCTGGTTGTACAGTGCAGTTGTACAGTGTGGGTTGGGGTGATATTGTGTAATCAAAAAGACATATTTGATATGTGATGTGAGCTTCAATTTATGAAAGTTTATGCCTTTCAATATATTTCGTTAAGTTTGAAAAGGAAATTACATGGAAACTACCAGACTCCTAATACATTCAAGTGCAATTTTGCTCTATACGGTTTTTGCAGAGAAGTACAGGTAGTCCTCAACTTACGGCCTCAACTGAGCATAAAATGTATGTCATTAAGTAAGACATTTGTTAAGTGAGCTTTGCCCCATTTTACAACCTTCCTTGCCACTTGTTAAGTGACTCACTGCAGTTGGCAAGTTGTAACCCAGTTGTTAAGTGAATCTCGCTTTCCCATTGACTTTGCTTGTCAGAAAATCCCGAAAGGTGATCGCATGACCTTGGGACACAGCAACGGTCATAAGCATGAACCAGTTGCCAAGCTGGTCTGAATTTTGATCACATGATCATGGGGATGCTGCAAGGATTGTAAGTATGAAAAATGGACATAAGACACTTTTTTCAGTGCTTTTGTAACTTTGGTCACTAAATGAACTGTTGTAAGTCAAGGATTACCTGTTTATTCTCTTTTTCATGATATAAACTATAGATTGCTCCATCTCACATTATATAACAACTCTTTCTTAACTATAAGAGGATGCCTGTTTCACTGGCAGTGTCTTCTTGCACCTTCCTGCTGCCTGTGCTGTTCTCAGTTGCTCTAAATAGTCTTATTTGAAAAGATTTTTCTTTAGCACAATTTTTATATATTGCCTCTTCATACAGAGGATCCATTTGATAGCATGATATTGTGTTTCCCTAAAAATAAGACCCTGTCTTATATTTTGTTGAACCTTGAAATAAGCACTTGGCCTTATTTTTGGGGAGGTCTTATTATTTTGGGGCATGTGGAGCAAGATGGGGCTCCTCTTGCCATCTTACCTGATTTCTAGCTCTGTGTTTAAATATTTTTGGGGAGGGCTTATTTTTTGGGGGGGAGACTTATTTTAGTTCATGTGCTCAAAAGCCCGATTGGGCTTATTATCAGAGGATGTCTTATTTTCGGGGAAACAGGGTACATTTTACCTTGTCTTATTCTTATCTAATCCAGCATTCTACTGTACTTCTAATCATGGCCAACCAGAAACTTCGAGAAAGTACACAAGACAAGAAACTTATCAGTTCCCACCATCAGATATGCTACCCTAAAACATGTGGTTCAAATTACTTATAATGCCTCTTGGTCATTATAAACACCTCCACTTCACATGTGTACTTATCCGTGTTATTTTTAAAATCTATAAGAGAGTCATGAGACATCGCCATGGCTGGATTTATATTAAAAGAAAGATGACTGAAAACATAATGACTATATTCGCTCAGTGTGTGCATGTATGTTAACATTTATTCATTGGATAAATTTATATGCCCCTCCCCCCCACTTGAACACCACAATTCTGGGTGGGGTTCAATAAACAAGATACAAAAATGAAATAATTTCAGTTAAAATCGGTAAACAACCATCGGTGGTGATTAAGGAAATGACATTTATTATGATCCTGCAGGCACGAACTCATTCTGGCCCCAACACCTGAGCCAAAAATGCTATGTATGTCCTTGCCTGTTTGGTTAGGTTTTGGCACAGTACATTCTTCTAACCCAGAACATGCATTGTTTGATAATTAGGCTAAACATGCTCTAAAACATGTAGAATAATTTACTCTAATAATAAGTATTCAGATACAGGTACTCCGCAACTGACAACAATTCATTTAGTGACTGTTTGAAGTTACAATTGCACTGAAAAAAAGCAACCTATGACCGTTTTTCACACTTAAGGACAGTTGCAAATCCCCCCCTGGTGAGAATTCAGATGCTTGGCAACTGAATCCTATTTATGACAGTTGCAGTGTCCTGGAGTCATATAATCCCTTTTTGTGATCTTCTGACAAGTAAAGTCAATGGGGAAGCCAGATTCACTTAACAACTTTAGTGATTCACTTAACAACTTCAGTGATTCACTTAACAACCATGGCAAGAAAGGTTGTAAAATCCAGCAAAACTCACTTAAAATGCCTCACTTAGCAACAGGAATGTTGGACTCAGTTGTGGCTGTACTTCAAGGACTGCCTGTATTAATAAGGTTGCAGTGTTAACTGAAGCAGAAAGTAAGGAGAGCAGGAATTAATATTTCCAATAGCAGCTACACTCTTGAATGTGAATTATTAAAAAAAATCAGCCACAATAACAGATAAATGTGTTCATATTATGTGTGGGTGGTTTTTGCTTTGTTTAAGACCAAGGACTAAACATACCGCAGGGTTGCTGGAGCAACTGCATTCTGCTATCAAGGGATATTGGGAAATTCGATCCAGATATGATCAAGTGAGTCCATTTGGAAAATATACAGGTAGTCCTCGACCTCTGACCACAACCGAGACCAAAATTTCCATTGCGTTCTGTTGTTACACCTGATATTACTACCTTTTTTGCCACAGTTGTTAAGTGAATCCAACTTCCCCCATTGACTTTGCTTGTTGGAAGCCGGCTAGAAGGACTGCAAATAGCAATCACGTGACTATGTTGGCTGCTGCAACCCTTGTAAATACCTGCAGGTTGCCCAGCACCCAAATTTTGATCATGTGACTCATGGAGACGCTGCTATGGTTGCAAGGGTGAGGAGTACTGGTTGTAAGTAACTTTTTTTGGATGCTGTCGTAAATTTGAACAGTCGCTAAAGAAATGGATGTAAGTCAAAGGCTCCTATCTCTTTTCTGAAAATAGCAACAAGAGAAAGAGAGAGAGAGAGATTACCTTTAAAACATTATTTATTAGTCAGGTTTTATTTATTTTATTTTTTTTTGGAAAGCAGTTACTGTTCTTCTTTATAAAAAGTGTCCCATCCCAGTTACACCAAAGTGATTAAACATGAAGATGTGGAGTAGGTTGGCTGGTCATGTACAGGGGTCCCTGGCCAGCCCGATCATTGGGAGCTGTACGATGTCATGCCGGCGTCCACGTTAGGAATGGAACGGATGCTGTGGCCTGGCCGTGCTAATCCACCCGAGCCTGGCAGCCAGCAGAAGCTCCAGGATTAAGGCTAATCCCATTGGCGCTGACAGCTTGGCCTGAGCTGCTCCCCTCCAAACGGAGGCAGTGTGTTCAGGGGGAAGGGAAGAATGGCCTGGCATGGGGCTCACGGCAAAACGAGGGGTGTCCCCCCACACACACTTAGATCCAAAGAGGAGCCAGCAGAGAGAGACCAGGGAAGAAGCAGGGCCAGCTGGCCGACGGCTCCTGTCCCCCCACTTGTGGGCGCGGGGATCAGGAGTGGGTTAAAGTGCTCAGGCCGCCCCCTCTGAAAGCAGCCCTCCTAGGCTGCAGCACCAAAGGGCCCCAGGGAGCTGAAGGCAGGGACGCTCCCTGTGGGATGGTTGTAGCACCAGTGAGAGGGAGGGGGGCCAGCCGGGGGGTGGCAAGGCATGGGGCTGTGTTGGCAGCGGCGGTGGTGGAATCTCTGCTTTTCTCAGGGGTGGGGTGGGGGTACATTCGAGACCAGGCAGTAGCACCAAAGTTCATGAGGTGAATGGTAGGCTGTCGGTCTGGGCTACTTCCTCTTCCGGCCGACTCCTCCTGAAATCAGAAGAGAGAGAAATGGAATGACCAAGTCGTCCAGCCAGGGCCGGATTTTCCTATAGGCTAACTAGGCTTCAGCCTAGGGCCTCAAGATCAAGAGGGGCCTACATTCAAATTGTTAGCAAAATTAAAATTACACTTTCACTATAGGTGAAAGGGCCTCATAAGTGGAATAGCCTAGGGCCTCTTTTCATCTAAATCCGGCCCTGCGTCCAGCAGATGGCTGATAGGGGCCGAGGGGACTTGCCAATCAGAAATGAATGGCCCTGAGGATTCTGACCTTGGCTTCGGTGGATGCAACATTCTTAACCGGGTTTGTTGAAGGCCTAGTTATTTTATTTGGACGTGTTCGACTTCCAACAGGAGAAAAATACTTTGTAGCTCAAGGCTGAACTGTGGCATTCTTGGTGCTCTCTGAACTTGGTTATTTGCACGAGTCAAAAAGAGGGCTGTGAAAATATTTACAGACCCCCTCGCATCCTGGACATAAATTGTTTCAACTCCTACCCTCAAAACGACGCTCTAGAGAACTGCACACCAAAACAACTAGACACAAGAACAGTTTTTTCCCAAACGCCATCACACTGCTAAACAAATAATTCCCTCAACACTGTCAAACTATTCACTAAATCTGCACTACTATTAATCTTCTCATTGTTCCTATCACCCATCTCCTCCCACTTATGACTGCATAACTGTAACTTTATTGCTTGTATCCTTATTATTTATTTTGATATTGTTTCCTTGTATGATTTGACTGCTTATTTGTACCCTATGACTATCATTAAGTGTTGTACCTTATGATTCTTTATTTTATTAGTTTGATTTATATGCCGCCCTTCTCCGGAGACTCAGGGCGGCTTACAATGCTTTTAAGCAATAGCTTTCATACTTTTGTATATACCTGCTTAGTAGGGCTTTTGGCCCCCCCTAAGCGGTGTTCTTTTTTATACAAAGTCAGCTTATTGCCCCCACAAACCGGGTCCTATTTTACCTACCTCGGAAGGATGGAAGGCTGAGTCAACCTTGAGCCTGGTGAGATTCTTGATGAATGTATCTTTTCTTTTTATGTATAGTGAGAGCATATGGACCAAAGACAAATTCCTTGTGTGTCCAATCACACTTGGCCAATAAAGAATTCTATTCTATTCTATTCTATTCTATTCTATTCTATTCTATTCTATTCTATTCTTTGCAAGTATTTCCCTTACCCAACTAAGTAGCTTCATCAGTGCCATAACCAAGCAACCGGCCAAGCTAAGAGCACCAGGAACTCCATGCATTCAGCTTTAATAACATCAATGTCCTTTGTTGTGTATGTGGGTTAGTGTGATTTGTACAAATCCAGGCGATTTAGTTAACTGATAATTCTGGAATTTGTATAGTACAACCCTTAGGTACAAAGAGGAAGTTTGGTTTCGGATTTTGGTATTGAAACCTATAGTAGACAGCTTTTATGGCATGGAATAGTACCTGGTAGAATCTGTTTTGGGCTTGGAAACTAAGCGGGGTCAAACTCCCACCAGCTACTCCTGGACCTCTACTGAGGATCCCCAACAACTGCCTTCACTGGTTCAGATGACGATTACTGTTTTGGGAACAGGGTGTAGGTGGTGCTCAGGCATTCTCCAGCTAACTGGATAGGAGCACCAAATCAGTCCTACAAGAATCAGACCAGCCAATCAGCTGCCCTGACATTTTGTTTCTGACCGGGAGATTCTGGGGACATTCTATAGCATGTTGAGTATTAGTCTTCTTCTTTCAACTCAGGATCAAATTGTTGGAGGCAGACTATCTCTGAGCATGGCAGTTTTGGAAATAAGAAGAAGCAGTAGCCCTCAATCAAGTTATCTTTCCAAGCTATGGTGCCACTTACTTTTGTAGCCAAGTGCCCCCAGGACTCCATAAGGCTTGGGAGGTTTACCTATGTATACAGAAAAAAAAGGGGGTCATTCAAAGCTAGTTAATTAGTTAACTTCTAGACTATCCTTTGCCTCTTTCCTCCCCCTAAAGTACTGCTCTTACCTCCATAGCCAGGTACACCTCCACCTGGGAATCCCAAATGAGAGAGAAAATCTTATTAGCATTGCCATTACCCTTTTAGTCACACACACACACACACACACACACACACACACACACACACACACACCCTTTCCCACTACGCTAAGAACTGCTCAGAAAAATGGGCCCACCTAAAGCACCTTCTTTGTCAGTGGCTGGATCCATGCATTGCAGTAAGCCATCATTTGCTGAACCATGGTATAAAAAAGCAAATGGCTGGTTCATACAACATGCAAAGTTAAAATCGGAGACACTGCAACATATACTCAATGAAAATGAAGTAGTTTCTGGTCCTGTGAATTGTGGGAATGTAGCCAATTCTGTGGGGTGAACTAGCCACAGGTTTGAGAGCATGAGATAAATACAGCAGTTTTTTCATTAACCCAGGTTTAATAAATTACGAGAAACCTGGCCATTGTGCTTTGAGTGTTATATCGACTGGGCCAGTCTATTTTCTTTATTAATAACTCCTGGAAGGATTTTGGAAGGGCACTGCTCTGTTAATAACAAAAGTTAATGTTACTGAGGGAATACACACACTGGATGAAAGCCATCATTTGATAATCATTGCCCTCAGGACACAGGCTTGCTACTCTGGCCAGACAAAGATAATTCAGCCCAGAGCCCCTTCCTGCATTTGGGTATGCCAGGACCTGAGGCCTTCCCTCGACAACATACCTGGGTAAATAGGAGATAATCCAAAGCCAGTGCCAGTTGCTGCAATAGAGGGGAACAGGTGGGAGAAAGCATAAAAAGACTTCAAAGGGACAAGCACAGAGGACACTTGATTCACACAGTTAAATGAAGTATTGGAGGACTGAGGCAGCCAATAATTTTGCACATGTGTAAAGAGGACCCTTGTGGTTAGAGTACCAAAAGCAGTGTTCAAACAATGTACTGAAAGCTAGCCAACTGCGTTTCAGCTTTGTATGCTGGTTTTATCCTTCCATGTGGTTAGTTTATGCTACAGTTGTTTAGTGTGATTCCAAAAGCTTGGATTAGCTGAATAAATTGTGGTTAAAATAAGCTATAGACGAGCACATGCAAACCCAGCCAATGTGCCTCCTGACATCTTTGTGGACTTTTTCAGCCCACTCAACTTCACGCAAGTGCAGCTGTGGGCCTGTCAAAGCTTCAGATCCCACTATTTAACATGTTATCTTTCGGTAGAACATTGACTCTTGAGTTCCGTTCCAAGCTCTCTGGCGTATTATTTTATAGAAATTTGGATATTTTTTCTCCCTCTAGTTAAAATGGAAAAAAGAGAAAGAGAAATGCAGGAATTTGCTTAAGGAAGCAATACATAAAATAATCCACTGTGTTGGAACAAATGTGGGAGGATGGGAAGAATTTGGAGGGTCTCTGAAGATGCTCCATCTTTTTATCGCCATGGCTGAGAGTTGGGAGAAAGGTAAGACATTGTTCAATCCTAGAAAAGAATGGTCTTTTTCTCTATTGACTCAACAGCAATTAGAATACCAGCGCTGGAACCCACAGAAAAAATAAAAGTAGCTTTTTAGAAGGGCAATCTCATAATATAACTTTAATCAATGTTTCTCAATTGTGGCAATTTTAAGATAGGTTGATTTCCACTCCCAGAATTCCCTCAGCCAGTAATCTTTAAGATGGGTGGGCTTCAGCTCCCAGAATTCTCCAGCCACCATTCTTTAAGATGAGTGGACCTTAACTCCCAGAATTCCTTCCTGGCTGGGGAATTCTGGGAACTGAAGTCCACCCACCTTAAAGTATGTTGCTAGGGGATCCTGGGAGTTGAAATCCACCCATCTTAAAGTGGCTAAGGTTGAGAAATGCTGACTTAAATAAGTATGTTTCCAACTACCCATGGATGGTGGAATGATTTATCCAGTTATAAAAGTGCAGGTTGAAGATAAATAGGAATGAGTTATTCTTGCAAAATTTCACTTCTTTTGTGAACTTTGAACATGGACAACTTCTATGAGAAAAAAAAATCCCTTATGAGGATCCATTGTTTGGAGATTTGGGAGTCACTTGAACTCTGAGCCTCCTTTCCCTTCTGTCCCCCTTGCTTCCTCCCCCGTTGGTAGAAATCCTATTTTCTTATTATCTGGTTTGGGAGTTTACACCAATCCCTGGATACTGCAATCTTGTGCAACAGAATGAGAGAAAAGAGAATCGTTCCCCTTATGGCCACTTGGTTTAACTACCCTAAGGTATTTTACTTGGGGCTGTTCTTGCAGAATCTTCAGAAACTACAACTGGTCCAAAATGCAGTTGCCCAAATCCTTTTAGACTCTCAGTAGTGGGAGCAAATTACACTGGTTTTGCTGATCCTGCATTGATTGCCAGTTGGTTTCCAGGTCCAATTTAAAATGCTGACCTACTGTATAAAGGCCCTTATGGCTTAGTGCCTGGGTATCTCAAGGACCCCCTTCTCCCATCAGAATTGAGCCAGCCAATCAGATCTGCCAGGGAGAAACTGCTGTAAATCTCAGATTTTCAGGAGATTCTCTGACTGTGTGTGTTTGTGTATGTGTATGTGAGGGGAGAGGAGAGGAGAGGAGAGGGAAAGAGAGATAGAGGAGAGAGAGGGAGGGCGGAGGGAGGGAGGGAGAGGGGGTGAGAGAAGGAGGGGCAAGGCAGTGCTGCTTCTTTTTGGCAGTCCCATTGGCTCTATCTTTATTGGTCTTTTGGAAACTTTTAAAAACTGAATTGTTTCAGAAAACTTTCCCTTGGTCTAAATTTTGCCATCTTTATTTCTGTTTATGCTATTTGGAAGCTAAAACATATGAAAAACACTTTAATGAAAAGTAGGACTGGGGGAATATGATAACAGTGATCCAATGTCTCAGGGGCTGCCACAAAGAAGAGGGTGGGGTGGGGTGGGGGTCAGCCTATTCTCCAAAGCACCTGAAGGCAGAACAAGAAGCAATGGACAGAAACTAACCAAGGAGAGAATGTCCTAGAACTAAGGAGAAATTTCCTGACAGTTAGAACAATTAATCAGTGGAACAACTTGCCTCCAGAAGTTGTGAGGGCTCCATCACTGGAGGCTTTTAAGAAGAGACTGGACAAATTCTTGTCATGAATGGTATAGGGTCTCCTGCTTGAGCAGGGGCTTGGACTACAAGACCTCCAAGATCCCTTCCAACTCTGTTATTCTGGTATTTAGTTTTATCGTGTTTGTAGTTGTTTTATTCTATCCCAGATGTCTGTAATCTGAATGTGTTCTATTTAAGCCGCCAAAAGTCTCCTAGGATTGTAGCGTCATAGAAATGTGTTAAATAAATAAAGATATTGTCACTTGAGGCTGGAAGCAGTGGTGAGCTCTACCTATGAGTGTAATAAGGCTGAAAGGTGATAGGGAGAAAGATACCTTCCTCATTTCCTTAATAGGATTGTTCTAATTATTTTAGCTGGTTGTAAAGCAATTCTGATTTGACTGATCTTGGAAGCTGGTTAGGTAATGGATGGCCATTACTTGTTAATACCAAGTTATTTACTAGACTGGATTTTTTTCTAAAGCAGCCTTAGAGACGGCAGTGGCAAAGCCATTTTGCTACACTGCTAAGAAAACTGCATGGATATAATCATGAAGAACTGGACTTCTTTTTAAAAAAGCTTTGAATTGGTTGAATAGGTGGTTAGAGTATTTTGAAGGGGAATTATAATTATAGCCCATTGTGGTCACTCAGATTTTCTTCCTACATCCCGACATAATATTCTTCTATTTTGCATTACAAGGAGCAAAGTTTATAACCAGTCAATGATAGATCTAAGCTTACAACAGGGATGAAATCCAGCAGGTTCTGATAGGTTCTGGAGAACCGGCAGCGGAAATTTTGAGCAGTTCGGAGAACCAGTAAATACCACCTCTGGCTGGCCCCAGAGTGGGGTGGGAATGGAAATTTTACAGTATCCTTCCCCGACATGCCCACCAAGCCACACCACACCCACCAAGCCACGCCCACAGAACCGGTATTAAAAAAATTTGGATTTTACCACTGGCTTACCATGACCATAAAATTGATAGTAGCGTTTAAAATATAGGGCATGCTAGCTGGGAAATTCTGGGAGTTGAAGTCCACGCATCTTAAAATTGTCAAGGTTAAGAAACACTGATCTAGATCAGGGGTCTCCAACCTTAGCAACTTGAAGACTTGCGGACTTCAACTCCCAGAATTCCTCTGCCAGCTGGCTGAGGAATTCTGGGGGTTGAAGTCCGCAAGTCTTCAAGTTGCTAAGGTTGGAGACCCCTGATCTAGAGTGTTTCTACAACAAATCCCTATTTGTTCTTTTTAAAAAAATGGTGGACTGAGTTTAACAGGTGCATTCTAACATTTCCAGTTTTGAAAAGTTGCGACTGAGTTTCAGGATGACACAGATGTGGACATAATTCCCACCCTGAATTGCCCTCCCCCTGCACCCCATCAGAAGCATCTTTGCCCACCGGGGATCAGACCTCCAGCTCCGGCACCAGCTCCGAAACCGGTTCCTCCCAGTCCAGGGACTCCGTATCCTCCTCCAACGCCTGTTTTTTTTTTCAAAGAAAATCTCCATCAGAAACAAACCATATATCTGGTTGAAATGCAATATGGAATATTTGTCTTTTGGCCTGATTGCTCTTGAATCTAACAAGGGAGGATCTTGAAGAGAATCAATGCTATTTTTTGTTTGTAAAAGGGGATGGTGAATTTAAGCTACAGTAAGAATTGCCAAACATTCAGTTTAAATCTTGGTGAATTAATCCAGAACTGAACATAAATTGTTTAGTATTAATATGAGTTGAAGAAGCCCGCTGGAGGCTACAGTATTAATATTATAAAAGGCAGAAATTTTCCTGACCCTTCAGATGATTTGGATTTAAATTCCCATGTATCTGTTCTAGCAGAGCCAATGGCAAATGGGAATGTTGTAGTCCAAAAAAATCAGAGTTCCAGGTTAGGCTTTCTGAGGTCAGTACAGGTAGTCCTTGACTTACAACAGTTCATTAGTGACCGTTCAAAGTTACAATGGCACTGAAAAAAGTGACTTATGACCATTTTTCATTCTTATAACCTTTGCGGCATCCCCATGGTCATGTGATCAAAATTCAGATGCCTGGCAACTGGTTCATACTTATGACCGTTGCTGTGTCCCAAGGTCATCTTTTGTGACTTTCTGGGAAGCAAAGTCAATGAGGAAGCCAGATTCTCTTAATAACTGGGTTATTAACTTATCAACAGGGGTGATTCACTTAACTGCAGCAAGAAAGGTTGTAAAATGAGGTAAAGCTCACTTGACAAATGTCTCACTTAACAGCAGAAATTTAAGGCTCAATTGTGGTCGTAGGTTGGTATAACTTGCCTCCAGAAGTTGTGAATGCTCTAACGCTGGAAGTTTTTAAGAAGATGTTGAATAACCACTTGTCTGAAGTGATGTAGGGTTTCCTGCCTAAGCAGTGGGTTGGACTAGAAGACCTCCAAGGTCCCTTCCAACTCTGTTATTCTATTCTAACATTAGAAGCTAATGGTATGAAATGATAATTATCAAAGCCTTATAGAAATCCTGAATGTGCCCTACCCAATTGTTGCTAGTTTTGAACATCCTAAAAACCAGTCTGTAGTACAAACATGTTTTGAGAGAAGTCTCTTTTGGCTTTGGCTAATCCTAATTTAGATAGCAGAGTACTGGGCCAACTGTTCTAAAAGGACTATGGGATCCATTTGGCAATCCATTCTAAGTGATCTGAGAAGAGCTACAGGGCAGTCTAAGAAAGAACAGGTAACTTAATGGTACAAAACAGCAATGTTGGAAATCACAATGGGAGATGATGAAGTCAAGGCCAGGGAGGTGATCAATACTCAAGGTGACCTTTTGAGAACCAAAGCAGGACATTTGGCCCTGCCTCTACTCTGGGAATCTGTTCCTCCAATTAAGGAGCAGTTTCCAGGACAGAGTTTGATGTGGCCTGGGGAATAACACTGGGCCATGAAGATTAGCTGGCTAACACTCAGCTGGGCCTTGAAAACATTCTTCAATTTTATAGCAACAGAACCTGTGTGTTACATGACAGAGCCTAACTGCTTTCATTCATCACACCCTGCCAAACATCACTGTGTTGCATCTTTTTCACATATCAAGACAACTCTGCATATTTTGGAATGTGAGGAAAAGAAACAGGGTTAGGAAGAATCCAGGCCCAGCCCCTATAAGCTAAAGACTCAGCCCTAAGGTCAACTCCAGCAGTTCCATATTCTGGACTATCTTACCTGCCACGCCAGTTCCACCCAATCCAGTACCTGGGACACCTGTCAAAGATAGGAGCAAGTCTCAATGGTGAACCCATGGCAATTCTTTTCTCTCTTGCAGGCTGGAGGCTTCCCAGATGGCAGCTGCATCACACTTTCCCGGGGGTTTTTTTCGCTCAAGGAGATGTTTTGTCCAGAGCTTGCTTTCCCTAATGCAGTTTTTCTTAACCTTGGCAACTTTAAGCTGTGTGGACTTCCACTCCCAGAATTCTCTGGGAGCCTTGGCCAGGGAATTCTGGGAGTGGAAGTCCATACAGCTTAAAAGTTGCCAAGATGAGAAAATCTGCCCTAATGATTGTTCTGAGCCAGTACAAGAAATTGGAGAGCAACCATTTGGGAAGGCAAAGCTGTGCAATAACAGAAGGGGGTCCCTGGTGTGGCTTCCATTTGTTTCAGTGGGGCCTGAGCAGGAGAGCCTCCTGCTAGAATATCTCCAGGTGAATGTTGGTGAATAAGAAATGCCTCCCTCTCATTCTCTCTCTTTCACTTTCTCTTCCTTTCATAGACATATTGGTCTATACCTATTTCGAGGAGTTAACATAATGAATTACAAGCATTTTTTTCATTCTGCAGATATACCGTATTTAGGTGGTTTGACTCCTCCTTGTCCTCCAATTATGGGAATGCCTGTGAGAGAAGAGGAAATAATTCTCATCAGAAATTCATTGCCAGAGATGATTTTTGCCTGTCAAAATGAGAAATTGTGAGGAGGGCTGATTCTCTAGGAAATTACTCCTGACTCAGGAAAATCTGAGGATTACAGGTAGTATTTTTTAACAATGAATCAAAGTTGCAACTGTCTAGGAAAAAGTGACTTACAACCCATTCTCAAACTTATGACTTTCCCACTAGCCCTGCATTCACATAATTACAACTTGGGTGTGTGGCAACTGACTCTAATTTATGATGGTTGCAAGTGTCTTGCATTCACATGATCCTGCTGTGAACTTTTCAACCAGTTTCTGACAAGCAAAGTCAATTGGGGAAGCCAGATTTGCTTAAAGACCTTGTCATCTGCTTAATGACCTTGTCATTCACTTAACAACAATGGTAAAAATGATCATAAATTTAGGTTTGGTCACATGATGACACAGTAATAACTGCATCACTTAGTCACTGAAATTTCAATCCCAATTGTGGTCAGACCCATGGTGGTGCAGTGGTTAGAATGCAAAATTGCAGGTTAATTCTGCCGACTGCCAGCAGTTTGATTCTGACCAGCTCAAGGTTGACTCAGCCTTCCATCCTTTCGGGATTGGTAAAACGGGGACCCAGATTATTGGGGGCAATATGCTGATTCTCTAAACCTCTTAGAGAGGATGGTAAAGTACCATAAAGTGGTATATAAGTCAAAATACTATTGATATAAGTTGAGGACAATGTGTACTCAATGAAGCACAGACCTGCACCAGGAAGTCTGCCCCCAGGTATACGGCCAGCTCCAGGTACGACGCCACCTCCAGGGATGACGCCACCTCCAGGCACGACGCCACCTCCAGGAAGGACGCCACCTCCAGGTATGACGCCACCTCCAGGAAGGACACCACCTCCAGGAAGGACACCACCTCCAGGAAGGACACCACCTCCAGGACGGAGGCCTGTTGTACCACGTATAATGAGTTTGATTTTTTTTTTTTAATTGAGGTGCAGGCAGTGTTAAATAAGAAGAAAAGAAAAAAGACAAGATCAAATGTTTCCCATTCTGTCCTTTCACCTCCACTGTTAGGTTTAGATAGTTTCATATACAGTAGGTGTTCTACTCCTGTTAAATCCCATCTTAATAAGGAGAATTTTTTAAAAAAATCCTAAAATGGCAGCATATCTCCTTTGCTCTTGCTTTTAATTTCTTTCTGCCTTATCCCTCTGTGTAACTGATTCATACATGGATACTGTGTTAAAAAGCTGTGCTTTTTATGCAATCATTTTTCCGAAAGTTTTCTTTGCCTCATCTTATTCTGACTCAGGCAGGTTGTCACTTGACATAGTCATTATCAGTGGGTTTGGTGTTTGTGAAAACCAAATTTTCCTACCTCTTCCCCCACCAATGAAATAGTGACCAATGAGAAACTTTCTGAGTGATGTGATACAGCTACCCCAACCCTAAAATATTCAAGGGCAAGATATACAAAAGAGTGACTCCATGCAAAAATTAAATTAAATTTACATTTAATTTCAATAAGATAACAAATTAATTACCATTACAATTAATAATGTTCCCTGCCAATCATTTCCAAAAATTCAGTTGCAAATTTTAGGTGATTCCGGGAACTCCATTCAAAACTTTTGGAAGTCACATGCAGCCATAATTAGCCTTAAGGTGTGCACTTCCCTATATAGGGTATCAAAATAAATTCCCAATTTCTGCCCTTGCCCAACTCAAAAATGGCATTGTGGAATAGAGGAACCCATAACTGATCTTGGTAATTTGGCATTTATCCTGAAAAGGCGCAGAGCCTTTTGTTAAGCGGGCTACAAAGAGAGAAAATTATATATCCCAAGAAAAGCTACCTTAGATAGATGCAGACCAAACTCACCATATTTGGCTGCTTTAGCAGCTACTTTCGCTGCTATAGCTGCACCAGGTCCTAGGCGAAAGAAGAACAAAAGAATTAAGCAGTCAGAATGGGAGCAAAGTTCAGATCTCTAATATCTCATTAAAACAGCGTTTCTCAACTTGGCAATTTTAAGATGTGTGGACTTCGACTCCCAGAATTCTCCACTGCCAGCAGCCAGGTGGATGGACTCATTTACAGTGGTGATGAGAGAACTGTTGGAAGATCTGGAAGAACCACATCTGTGTGGTTGCTAACAGTTGACACCAACCTGATGGCACACAATCAGTCAAAGGTGGCAGGGGAAAGCTGCAGAAGGCAGCATCTGGAAGCAACTTATGGAACATGCACAATGTCTTTAGGGCAGGCAAAACGATATACTTTTCCTCCCAAGTAGTAAAAACAGCAGGAAGCATGGCTATGTAAAAACACAGTCAACAGAAGCAGCAGAGAACTTTTAACACATTCATTTGGGACAGAATCGGCACTATAACTCTGTCCCACTTTAAGTGGACTGGTAACTATGTTTTTGTCTTGTTTTTTTTTTGTTTTTTTTTTGTTTGATTTATATGCCGCCCTTCTCCGGAGACTCAGGGCAGCTTACAATGCGTTAAGTAATAGCCTTCATACTTTTGTATATTATACAAAGTCAGCTTATTGCCCCCACAATCTGGGTCCTCATTTTACCTACCTTTGAAAGGATGGAAGGCTGAGTCAACCTTGAGCCTGGTGAGATTTGAACTTGCAGTAATTGCAGGCAGCTGTGTTAATGACAGGGCTTTAGTCTGCTGCGCCACCAGGACTCTTTTGTTTTGTTTTGTCGTGATTTTGTTTGGTTTGATTTTGCTTTGTTTTGCTTTGGAGTTCATTTGGTTTTGGTTTTGGTTTGGTTTTGGATTTGACAGGCAGATCTATCTACCAGTCTTTGAAACACCACTGAGCATGTGTTTAATAACAATACTGAAAAAGGTTGAAAACGGTATATGAGCCGGGGTGGGCTTCAAAAACTTTAGCAAGGTTGCTGGGTGGGCGTGGCCTAGTTGGCCTCCTGCACCATGGTGTGGGGAGGGGAGGGTGTTTTTGCCCTCCCCGGGCTCTGGGGGCTTTTCTCGAGCCTCCAGGAGGGCCAAAACAGCCGCCCCAGGCTCTGGAGGCCCTCTTCTGGTAGGTCCGGTTTTTGCCCTCCCCGAGCCTCCGCGTGCACCCTGCACTTACCTGCATCCAAAACGGGCCGTTTGGGGACTCCTGGGAGGGGCAAGGCAGTGGGGCCCAGGGCCAGCCAGGTGTGGGATTTGGGGGTTCACTGAACTGCACAGAATCTTAGCTAGAGGTTCTCCCGAACCCCTGCGAACCGCCAACAGCCCACCCCTGTATACGAGCTATATTTCTTTTGGTTACGGTTTTCACTGATGGATCCCCGGGTTTTTTTCTCTAAACCAGTGTTTCTAATTTTCTGCAACTCTTAAGAGATGCAGACTTCAAACTACTGTAGCTTGCTGTCTGGGAACTTCTGGGAGTTGAAGCCCATACATTTTAAAATTGCTGAGATGGACTGCTATAAACAATCCCTCCCTTTCCTGGATTTCCTGCAGCAGTATTTGAAAAATCAAAAGGTAGTACAGAATAACACTGCTTTGACTTGCAATACAGCTTGCCAAAAACCTGAAGAGGATTTGCATTTCAGCCTTTCTGAACGGGAAAATCGAAACCGCCTTGGAGGGGGTGCCTCAGTTGTGGAACTCTCTGCTCTTGGAAGGCTCCTACTACCATTGAGGAGGGTAGGTAAATGTTTGCTCTTGCCGGAAGCATTTGTGCTGCTGGGGAGCTTGTTGTTTTGTTCCTTGGCATTGTTAATTAAATTTGTAAGGGCATTTCAGTAATTTAGCTTAGTTGCCTTGTGTTCTGAACTGATAGAAATTCTGTTGTGTTCCCAGAGAAATACTAATTTGTCTGGGAATAATAAAATAAGTATAGCTGGTAATAAGTGTTGGCATATAGCATTACTTACCTCCAGCTCCTGGGATTCCTCCAATGCCAGGCACAAGTCCACCACCAGCACCAGGGACCAAGCCACCAACACCACCAGCACCAGGAACCAGACCTCCAACACCACCAGCACCAGGTACTAGGCCTCCAACGCCACCGGCACCAGGAACCAGGCCGCCAACGCCACCAGCGCCAGGAACAAGGCCGCCAACACCACCAGCGCCAGGGACTAGGCCGCCAACCCCTCCTCCAGGCACAAGTCCTCTACCTCCACCAGCTGCTGCTGGGGCAAAGCAAACGTTGTAAGAAAGAAACAGTTTTCTGTTCTGTTGTGTAAGAGTTGAAGTTCTCAAAGGATGGTACTTTGATACTCAGTTCAAAACATGAAACCTGTGTGCTTTGTATTTTCTCCTAATACCGCCAACGTTTTTCACCATGCCTGCTACTTGCATTCTTATTACAATGTTGTTTTTTTTCTTTGCAAAATGAGGCTGCTCAACGATACAGCATTTTTCTGCAGTTGTTTGTTCCCCCCTTAGAACCCTGCTGCTAAATGATACAGTGATATTTTCACAGGCAAATTACAGGTCTGTGTATTGGAGTAGGTGGGGAAGTGTTTTGCCCTTCTGCTATCATACCATCTTATGCAATTTCTCCAGCTGCAAAGGAAAGCCAGATCAAAGGTTGGGCACGTCAACTACACCCCAAACAATGCTTATGATCCTTACATATATAAACCTATTACCTGCCACTTAAACCACTTGTACTGTATTCCTGGACATTCTACGGTGTAGGCGTAAAGCTTTTCATTTATAGCAGAAGAAAGCAGGTGGAGTGATAAAGGTTTTGGGCTAGGAATGGGGAGATCCAGGTTCAAGTCCACCAACAGCCATGGGTGATTTTGCTCCAGTGACTTAAGACTAACCCTCTTCGGGGTTGTTATTATGGCAATAAAATAAAGGGAGTTCCCCATGTAGCTTCCTTGAGCAATTGAAAGAAAGGGGGATAAAAATCTTAACATAACATATTAACATAAAATAATAATAATAAGCACCAGCTTATTCATTGTTTTCATCATCCTGCTTTTGAGCCATGGTAAATACCCAACTTTTGAGAAAGGTCTGCTGGATGTAGCTGCACTTCTATGGCTGCATACACACACACACACACACACACACACACACACACACACAATTTTTAAAGCCTGTGGTTCTGCATGATATGCTGAGCCACCAACGATCAATTATTAAATGATGATTAAAGAGAACCAAAGCCATGAATGGTGAGAGACAAAAAAAATAAAAATCTGAAGCACCTTTTCTGACTCACACAGTTTATTAGCAGGTACAAGCTTTTGTGAGCTGCATCAGAGGCTCTGTGCTTCTGATAAAGTGCACTGCCGTTCACAAAACAGGCTATGCATGTTAATAAACCTATTCAGAAAATGTGCTACCAGTTTCATCCTGGTCCTGTCCCCCCCCCCAAATAAACTGACATTCATACAATGTGTATAACAGGAGATGAGAGAGGGATCTGGGATGCTCTTCAGATGCTATGTTCTCTCCAAATGACACAGTCTCCTTAGAGCATCAGCCCCCAAACTTTGGAGCACCAGGGACCGGTTCCATGGGGAGAGGTTTTTCCGCAGACAGGAGGGGGTATGGTTTCCGCATGCTGCCTGCATCCCATGGATGGGGCTTTGCTTGTTTGTGCGGCCTGGTTTCTGGCATGCCACGGCCCAATGCCGGTCCATGGAGCCTTAGAGCACAGACTTGAATGGTCCCTTAACCCCAGTACTTCTAACTCAGTGAACAGATTTTCTGCTTAAGTGAGAAATGGACCAAGGCCCAGAAAAATGGACTCTTTCATTTCTCCTTGTGTATAGTGCTCCATTTGCTGTTTACTAATACTGTGCAGAATCTGAATATAAAAGTAAAAAAGGGACTTTTGGGAGCACGCATGTCGCATAATGAGCCATGGTGGTGCAGTGGTTAGAGTGCAGTACTGCAGGCTACTTCTCTGCTAACTGCTGACTGACTGAAATTTGGCAGTTCAAATCTCACCAGGCTCAAGGTTGACTCAGCCTTCCATCCTTCCGAGGTGGGTAAAATGAGGATCCAGATTGTTGGGGGAAATAAGCTGATTCTGTAAACCGCTTAGAGAGGGCTGGTAAAGCGGTATATAAGTCTAAGTGCTATGGCTATTGCTATCTGCCTGCAACTCTGCAAAGTTGTGTGATGCCCTCTGTAGCTTCAGCAGGACTCTAAGGAAAGACATATTTGATTTAAGGAGATGCAGACAAGTGCTACAAACATGCTGCTGTACTTCCCAACATATCTTGTTGCCTTCAAATCTGAAATACTGCAAAGACCTAGTAGAAACTGTTAGTTGCCTATATTTACAATGCTGGTCTAAATTGTTGCCTGTGCTGGATTGAAGCGACCTTACCATATTTTGCTGCCTTGGCAGCTGCTTTTAGAGCGGCCGAACTTCCTGGAACTGCAAATAGAAGAAAAATAAAGATGAGGTCTTTGGATCATCAACACCTATTTTGCATAGTTCCCCAGTTCATGGCAGGGTTGGGAGTCACCCCAATGGTAGCCTAACTTCAGCTAAATAACCATGAAACCATGACTGCTAAACTGAATATGAGTCAGCAGGCTGCCAAAAAGCCAAACAATTTTAGCCTTCATTAGTAAAAGTACAGTGTCCAATATGTGGGAATAATACTCAGCTGAAGTATTGTACCAATTGTAGGCACCAAATTTTAAGGAATCAGAGGATTCAGAATACTTTCAGAAAAGGTCAACTAAGATAATAACCTGAAACAAAGAGAGATTGAAGTTGTTAGACATGTTTAAGCCTGGAGAAAAAGAGCCTGGAGAGAAATATGATACTATGCTTCAAATATCTAAAAAGCGACCACAGAGAAGAAAATTAGTAAAACTTGTTCTTTTATCATTACAGACTGCAGGGACACGGAATAATGAATTTACAGTAAGTTAAAGGAAGGCAGTTTCCAATTGAATGTTGGAAAAACTTCCTAAGGGTAAGATCAGCTGAAGTGTGAAATGCTGGTAGGCGTCCCTTCCCTGGATATATTCATCCAGAAACTGGATGGCCATCTTTTAAGAGATGCTTTAACTTGAATTCTTGCACTGAGCAAGGATTTATTTATTTAATTCGTTTATCGAAACAAACTTACATACCTGCTCATCTGCCAGAAGGAATTCTGGGGAGCAAACGGGACACAATGCAATTCCAAAACAACCCCCACCTCCAATTTAACCTAAATGTTGATATGATCAAACCTGCATCCATAAATCCACCACCCCATGCTAGGTCCATTGGATCGTAGCTTCAAAGCCTAGGGGAAAAGCCAGGTCTTCACTGCTTTCCTGAAGACAACAAGGCCTGTATCTCTGGGGAAGGGGGTTCCATAAAACAGGCATCATGACAGAGAAGGCATACTTCCAAATTCCCATCAAGTCTCACTGTTTCACTAAGGATCTCTGGACTGAATGACCTAAATATACAGAATGTTCCTCACAGTTGAGTTAAACTGCTAAACACCCATTGTAGAGCTGACACAAAATGGTTGGTTGTGCTTGGTTGTAAGCCACCTAGAGTTGGCTCTTGGCAAGATGGGCAGCATAAAAATGCCATTGGCAGTAATGCTGTGCTTTTACATTTCCTACATACATAAGAACTTACCTAGTCCCGTTCCACCAGGTCCCAGTCCGCCAGGCACAACTCCACCAGGTACAACTCCACCTGGCACAAGTCCACCAGGCACAACTCCGCCGGGCACAACTCCTTTGTGCATATGGACTACTTAGAGGGCTGAAAAAGTTATTTTTGACTGGTCCTCACACTTTTGACTGGTTCTCACACTTATGACCATCCTCACATTTATGCCCATGCAGCATTCTTAACAACCATGTCACTCATTTCACAACTGCTTCTCTTCACCATGATGACAAGATAGGGCAAAAATGTAAAATGTGAGGACAGTCGTAAGTTCGAGGACTGGTCAAAAGTGCGAGGACCAATCAAAAATAACTTTTTCAGCCCTCTGAGTAGTCCATATGCACAAAAGGACTAACCAGAGGGCTGAAAAAAGTCATTTCTGACAGGTCCTCGCACTTTTGACTGGTCCTCACACTTATGACCATCCTCACATTTATGCCCATGCAGCATTCTTAACAACCATGTCACTCATTTCACAACTGCTTCTCTTCACCATGATGACAAGATAGGGCAAAAAATGTAAAATGTGAAGACAGTCGTAAGTTCGAGGACTGGTCAAAAGTGCGAGGACCAGTCAAAAATAACTTTTTCAGCCCTCTGAGTAGTCCATATGCATAAAAGGATACAGCAATAGAGAGGGATGAAGGAAGGGAAGGGAAATTAGAGTAGGAGTGAAGGTAAGAGGGGGAGGAAGAGAGGAGGAGAAGGAGAAAGGAAGAGGAAGTAGGGAGGAGAAGAAGGGGGGGGGAAGAGAAAGTAAGAAGGAAAGAAAAGAGAGAGGTGGTAGGTTTGAGGAGAAAGATTGCTGTACAATAAAAAAGATGAAAGGGAAGAAAGCCAATCCCAAACAAATATAAAGATATTAAGATAAAGAATGAATGGTTAAACTTTAAAGAATAAAAGAGAACAAATATGAATAAATAGACATGGTTGTTAAGAATGCTGCATGGGCATAAATGTGAGGATGGTCATAAGTGTGAGGACCAGTCAAAAGTGTGAGGACCTGTCAGAAATGACTTTTTTCAGCCCTCTGAGTAGTCCCTATACACATAGCCATGGCCACCCGGTCACATGACCAGCTAGCCACGCCTACCCAGTCACATGGCCTCTAAGCCACGCCCACACAATAAGTCACGCCCACAATGGTGTCCTTCTTACCAATGTTAAAATCTGTTCACCTTACCCTATACACATAGCCATGGCCACCCGGTCACGTGACCAGCTAGCCACGCCCACCCAGTCACGTGGCCAGCTAGCCACGCCCACCCAGTCACGTGACCAGCTAGCCACGCCCACAAAATAAGCCACGCCCACAATGTCCCTCTTTACCAATGTTAAAATCTGGTCACCTTACTCTAAGGAAAGACATATTTGATTTAAGGAGATGCAGACAAGTGCTACAAACATGCTGCTGTACTTCCCAACATATCTTGTTGCCTTCAAATCTGAAATACTGCAAAGACCTAGTAGAAACTGTTAGTTGCCTATATTTACAATGCTGGTCTAAATTGTTGCCTGTGCTGGATTGAAGCGACCTTACCATATTTTGCTGCCTTGGCAGCTGCTTTTAGAGCGGCCGAACTTCCTGGAACTGCAAATAGAAGAAAAATAAAGATGAGGTCTTTGGATCATCAACACCTATTTTGCATAGTTCCCCAGTTCATGGCAGGGTTGGGAGTCACCCCAATGGTAGCCTAACTTCAGCTAAATAACCATGAAACCATGACTGCTAAACTGAATATGAGTCAGCAGGCTGCCAAAAAGCCAAACAATTTTAGCCTTCATTAGTAAAAGTACAGTGTCCAATATGTGGGAATAATACTCAGCTGAAGTATTGTACCAATTGTAGGCACCAAATTTTAAGGAATCAGAGGATTCAGAATACTTTCAGAAAAGGTCAACTAAGATAATAACCTGAAACAAAGAGAGATTGAAGTTGTTAGACATGTTTAAGCCTGGAGAAAAAGAGCCTGGAGAGAAATATGATACTATGCTTCAAATATCTAAAAAGCGACCACAGAGAAGAAAATTAGTAAAACTTGTTCTTTTATCATTACAGACTGCAGGGACACGGAATAATGAATTTACAGTAAGTTAAAGGAAGGCAGTTTCCAATTGAATGTTGGAAAAACTTCCTAAGGGTAAGATCAGCTGAAGTGTGAAATGCTGGTAGGCGTCCCTTCCCTGGATATATTCATCCAGAAACTGGATGGCCATCTTTTAAGAGATGCTTTAACTTGAATTCTTGCACTGAGCAAGGATTTATTTATTTAATTCGTTTATCGAAACAAACTTACATACCTGCTCATCTGCCAGAAGGAATTCTGGGGAGCAAACGGGACACAATGCAATTCCAAAACAACCCCCACCTCCAATTTAACCTAAATGTTGATATGATCAAACCTGCATCCATAAATCCACCACCCCATGCTAGGTCCATTGGATCGTAGCTTCAAAGCCTAGGGGAAAAGCCAGGTCTTCACTGCTTTCCTGAAGACAACAAGGCCTGTATCTCTGGGGAAGGGGGTTCCATAAAACAGGCATCATGACAGAGAAGGCATACTTCCAAATTCCCATCAAGTCTCACTGTTTCACTAAGGATCTCTGGACTGAATGACCTAAATATACAGAATGTTCCTCACAGTTGAGTTAAACTGCTAAACACCCATTGTAGAGCTGACACAAAATGGTTGGTTGTGCTTGGTTGTAAGCCACCTAGAGTTGGCTCTTGGCAAGATGGGCAGCATAAAAATGCCATTGGCAGTAATGCTGTGCTTTTACATTTCCTACATACATAAGAACTTACCTAGTCCCGTTCCACCAGGTCCCAGTCCGCCAGGCACAACTCCACCAGGTACAACTCCACCTGGCACAAGTCCACCAGGCACAACTCCGCCGGGCACAACTCCACCAGGCACAACTCCGCCGGGCACAACTCCGCCGGGCACAACTCCACCAGGCACAACTCCGCCGGGCACAAGTCCACCAGGCACAACTCCGCCAGGCACAAGTCCACCAGGCACAACTCCGCCAGGCACAACTCCGCCGGGCACAAGTCCACCAGGCACAAGTCCACCAGGCCTAACTCCACCAGGTACTACTCCAGTTCCTGAGGAAAAAAATATTGAAACAAATAGTCTGATTATATGGACCAATTCTTTTATCTTCTTTAGTAATATTTGTTGGATTAGGATGAGGTATTAAGTTTATCGCGCCCCCCATAAATGACTTAGATGAGGAAATAGAAGGGGAACTCTTCTATTTGATAAATAAATTTGATAATTTGCAGATGACACTAAACTGCAGGAATAGCCAACACCCCAGAAGACGAGCTCAGGATCCAAAACGATCTTGACAAACTTCAACAATGGGCCCTATCCAACAAAATGAATTTTAATGTGGAGAAAAGCAAAGATTAACATTTAGGCAGGAAAAATCAAAGGTATAAGTACAGTTTAGGCAAATCCTGGCTTAAAAACAGTAACTATGAGGGGGATCTTAGAGTCCTAGTGGACAATCATTTAAATATGAGCCAGCAGTGTGCAGCAGCAGCCAAAAAAGCTAATACAATCCTGGCTTGTATAAACAGAGGCATAAAATCAAGATCATGTGAAGTATTAGTACCACTTTATAAAAACCTAGTAAGACCACACCTGGAATACTGCAACCAGTCTTGGTCGCCATACTACAAAAAAGATGTTGAGACCTTGGAAAAAGTTCAGAGAAGAGCAACTAAGATGATCCAAGACCTGGAGACTAAAATATATGAAAAACGGTTGCAGGTTTTGGGTCTGGCTAGTCTAAAGAAAAGAAGAATTAGGGGTGACATAATAGCAGTATTCCAGTATTTGTGGGGCTGCCACAAAGAAGAGGGTGTCAAATTATTCTACAAAGCACCAGAGGGCAGGACAAGAAACAATGGCTGGAAACTAACCAAAGAGAGATGCAAGCTAGAATTAAGGAGAAACTTCCTAACAGTGAGGACAATTAACCAGTGGAATAGCTTGCCTTCAGAAGTTATGGGCACATCATCACTGGAGGTTTTTAAGAAGAGACTAGATAGCCACTTATCTGAAATAGTATAGGTTCTCCTGCTTGAGCAGGGGGTGGACTAGAAGACCTCCAAGGTCCTTCCTCTATTCTATTCTATTCTATTCTATTCTATTTCTATTCTATTCTATTCTATTCTATTCTATTCTATTCTATTCTATTCATTTGCAAATTACCTCTGTCTCTACCTCTAAAGAGAGAAAGGAGCCTGGTGCCTCAGCAGACTAAAGCACTGTTAATTACTGCAATTACTGTCTGCAATTACTGTAAGTTCAAATCTCACCAGGCTCAAGGTTGACTCAGCCTTCCATCCTTTCTAAGGTAGGTAAAATGAGGCCCCAGATTGTGGGGGCAATAAGCTGACTTTGTATAAAATATACAAAAGTATGAAGGCTATTGCTTAACGTGTTGTAAGACGCCCTGAGTCTCCGGAGAAGGACGGCATATAAATCAAATTAAAAAAAAAAAGAATGGAATGTTCAAGAATTGAAAACCATCAATGAAGGGCCCCACCCCACCCCTCCACCCAATTCCTATTGCTGTGGGAGCAGAGTGCAATTCAGCAATCCAGCAGAATCTTGTATTATCCCCACAAAGATGCTGAGTTTGGTTTTGTTGTGTCTGACAAATTTGATTCAGTATAAATGAGAAATACTGAATGAGAAATAATCAGAAGGCAAGATCCTTCTGTGGTTTTCAAACTCAGCAACTGTAAAATGTGTGGATTTCAACTCCCAGAATTCCCCAGCCACAGTGTGCTGGCTGGAGATTTCTGGGAGTTCAAGTTTACACATCTTAAAAGTTGCCAAGTTTGAAAAACATTAATCTACAAGGATGATAAATTTTGGTTTACAAACAAAAAAGCAATAAGGGCAGTGATAAACTGAGAGGGAGATTTGAGCGATAAATCTTTTTGGTTATGCTTGAAGGATTGTTTTAGTGGGTAGAAGGTAAATGCAATAACCTGGATTTCTTTTTTTAAAAAAATATTTATTAAATTTCCAAAGATTAAAATACACAGTACAAAAGGAAACATAATACACAAAAAAGCAAGAAAAAAACACACACAAAAGAAGAAATATAAACAACAAAAACAAACGTATCAAGATTTCAATACTAATAACAACTTTTCTGCATCGGTACCTCTAACCTATTCAACCACTTTACACAAATTCTACTTCTAAATATCTCTATCTTAAACTTACGTCTTTATTTAAATTATCTTGATTTCTATTTACAATTCGATCTCATAACAAAAACATCCCTTAAGTTTTATGTTTACTCTCCAGCCAGGAATACTATTTATTCCATATTAAATAGTATTCGGTGCCCTCCCTTTCCTTCATTTCCATAGATAATCTGTCCATCTCTGCACATTCGTATATTTTTTTTATTATGATTTGATCCAGAGGGGTGTCTGATTGTTTCCAATTTTGTGTTATCTATCACAATAACCTGGATTTCAGACAGGTTGGGGGATAAACAAACTTGATTCAGTAAAAGAATTATCTAAGGACATGTATATTAATGCTTTATATTAGGTCCAATGAAGGTCTTTAATATAGACTTTCAAAATAATTTCACATATATTTTTCCTACAGAGAGGCTTGTGTTTTTAAATTAATATCTATGGATTCTTTATAATATTACATATTTTGCCAGGCTCAAGGTACGAGATAAGTTTACTTTGCCTCAGTCAGCAATTTATTTTGCATGCCATTTTGTATTTCATTTTATTCAATGCTTTGCTGATGTTTGGCATTTAGTTATATCTTACTATTCGCAAACTCTGTCGCAATGAGAAAAAGAAATAGGTTGCATATTTACCATATGCTGCTGCTTTTGCTGCTGCCTTAGCTGCTGCTGCTGCCGCTGCCGCTCCTGCTGTCCCGGCTCCTAATGTGCATAGAAACACAGTTAAGTTACAGGACAGAATTCATATTGGCATGGAGCTCTTCTGCATCTGGGGCTGATGGCACCCCAGGAACTCCACCAATACCTGGGAAACCACCAACACCACCAGGAACACCACCACCTGGGACACCAACGCCACCAGGGATGACACCACCAGGTCCAACACCACCAGGGAAGACACCACCAGGTCCAACACCACCAGGGAAGACACCACCAGGGCCAACGCCACCAGGGAAGACGCCACCAGGTCCAACGCCACCAGGTCCAATGCCACCAGGGCCGACGCCACCAGGGATGATGCCACCTGGAACCCGCCCTAGGAAAAACATGATGAAATGGGAGTGGGAATTCGGTGGAAACTCGGTTCAATTGCATTGGGAACTCAGCAAAAATTCAATTGGAGAGGAACTTAGTGGGAACTCAAAGAAGATTCACCAAAGTCCTTGCTGCCTACCAATTATACTTATTCAGAAAATCCATGCGACTTCAATGCTGCTAAGCATAAGAGCAGACTCAGGAGAGAACTGCCTGCATGCTACCATTGAATTAGAGCAATTAGAGTCTATATCAAACAGTCTATATCAGATGATGGTTCCCAAAGCCTAACCCTAACCCTAACCTCTCCATGCTCATTCTGCAATCCCACCGCATATAGGATTCCATTCATGTACATGTTTCCTCATGTAGGCAAGGAACAAAGTTTGAGAGAGGTTTCACAGGCTGTGTTTGTTGGCTCATCACTCTGGTCCCTCAGATTCATGGGATTCACAGGCACAGTGCCCCCGTTTGGGATTGGTGGGATACATAGGCAGAGGTACCCTTTTTATGGATGACCTTCAATAAGAGCCTTGGTACTACAGGGGTTTAAGGCACCCTGTTATTAAGCTTATTAAGACCAGCTGCCTGCAATTACTGCAGGGTTCGAATCTCGCCAAGGCTCAAGGTTGACTCAGCCTTCCATCCTTTCTAAGGTAGGTGAAATGAGGACCCAGTTTGTGGGGGCAATAAGCTGACTTTGTATAAATATACAAAAGGATGAAGGCTATTGCTGAGCACATTGTAAGCCGCCCTGAGTCTTCGGAGAAGGGCGGCATATAAATCAAATTAAAAAAAAAATATATATGAGGAATTCTCTTCCATGACAGTTCTGCGTGCGCTCTCTCTCTCTCTCTCTCTCTCTCTCTCTCTCTCTCTCTCTCTCTCTCTCTCTCTCTCTCATTTTTCACTGATTCAAAAGATGTGTTCTATTCCTCAAGCTTTTCATTGATCTCATTGCTGTCCTTCCATATACTGTATGTGTCAGTTTGATATATGAGCCTATTTGATACAGTGGTTTAAAACAGCCACTCTCTCTCTCTGTCCTGGGAAGGTGAATTGTGGAGGTTCCTAGATAAAAATCCACACAACACCCCCAGATCACAGAAGTATCAGTGCATATATAGCAGCTACTTCCTGTGTAAGTAGACATAGGATATATCTGGGCCTTCAATCAATCCACATTCTGCCTGGAAAGCCTGAATCTTGCAACTTGCACATGTTAACAAAGTCAATTTGATTTTCTAAATTTTATTTTGCATAATTTATGGTTAGAGGGGGGAAATTTCAAAATATAATTTCTAGTTTTGTTATGGCCAGATAACTAGGGGAAGTGTTAAGAAATATGTAATCAGTTGAAACCTTTCTTGATTTCAAACATACTCTAAGGCACCAGGCATGCTGTATTAAATCTTACTGCTGTCAGAAAGCAGAAACTCAAAATCTTCTATTTTCTCCCACCAAAATATCACCAATTTCTCTGCTCTACACTGCGTTGTACAGATTGACATTTCTCAACCTCGTCTCAACTTCCAGAATTGACATCAGAGAGGATGGAAAAACTGTCTGTACGACAACATTGTTGTTTTCAGTAGTAGTTGTAACTTCATGCTGGATTTACCCACCTGTCCTCTAGTTTCTGAGAGGTCACTAAGATGGCACACTTACTAAGTGCAACTTTGCCCATCCCGGGGAAGTATTTTAATAGTTAGGGAGAGAAGGAGAGAGGTGGAGAGGGAGAGAGAGGGGGAGAGAGAGGGGGAGAGAGGGAGGGAGGGAGAGGGAGGGAGGGAGAGAGGGGGAAAGAGAGAGAGGGGGAGAGAGGGAGAGAGGGAGGAAGAGAGGGGGAAAGAGAGAAGAGAGAGAAGAATGGAGGGCCCAGTCCTACAATGTGCAACGCAATGATATCTACGTGCTTGAGCTTGCTATAGATACCCCACCCCCCAAATAAAGAGCTTTCAAATAATTGGAAGACATACCGTATTTTGCTGCTTTAGCGGCGGCAGCAGCTGCTGCTACTGCTGGACTCACTCCTTGAAGATTCAAGCAAGAGAGGAAACAGGAGGTATAGCTTAATAATAGAAACGTAATGCATTTCAAATATAGTTTTGCTGTGATAATAATGCAAAACTGACATTACCCTCATTTTAATCTTACTCTAATTTTAAGAAATAGTGGAAATGTACCTTTGGGGCCAAAGGGAAGGAGATGAAACAATTTATTCTGAAACTTTTGCTAGCATCACGAAAAGGTTAGCTGGTGCTGGGGCAGTTAAACCAGCCTGGCTTGGTTAAAACTGGAAGCTGTTCAGTTGTGTAAGGGAGATGACGAGACCTTCCCAGCCTCCACTTCTGATCAACTTTAGCAATAGCAATTTCACTTATATACCGCTTCATAGTGCTTTACAATCCTCTCTAAGTGGTTACAGAGTCAGCGTATTTCCCCCAACAATCTGGGTCTTCATTTTAACCGACCTTGGAAAGATGGAAGGCTGAGTCAACCTTTGAGCTGGTCAGAAATCAAACTCCTGGCAATGTGAGCAGAGTTAGCCTGCAATACTGCATTCTGACCAGGGGTGAAATCCAGCAGGTTCTGACAGGTTCTGGAGAACCGGTAGTGGAAATTTTGAGCAGTTTGGAGAACTGGCAAATACTACCTCTGGCTGGCCCCAGAGTGGGGAGGGAATGGGGATTTTGTAGTATCCTTCCCCTGGAGTGGGGAGGGAATGGGGATTTTGCAGTATCCTTCCCCTGGAGTGGGGAGAGAATGGGGATTTTGCAGTATCCTTCCTCTGGAGTGGGGTGGGAATGGAGATTTTGCAGTATCCTTCCCCTTCCCCACCCACCAAGCCACGCCCACCAAGCCACACTACACCCACCAAGCCACGCCCACAGAACCGGTAGTAAAAAAATTTGGACTTCACCACTGATTCTGACCACTGCGCCACCATAGCGCTTTACTCCATGTCCAGAAGCTCTCTTTAATAGGCACCCGGTGAAAAGAAGGGGTGGCAAAGAAGATGAATTCCCTTGCTCGTTTTGGCTTTGGTTACCCATAACCATCAGATGATTCCCAAGGGGCTACATATCGTAGTTCCCTCTCTGACCCCCAGGACCTTAGCACTGGAGAGGAAAAGTCCCATATGTGCTTTAAATAAAATGCAGCATTGTAATAAGGTAAGCTTTTTACTGGTATCTTATTATTCTCTTTAGTGGCCATGGAATACAAGTAGTCCTCAACTTACAACAGTTCACTTCGTGACCATTCGAAGTTACAACCATTGCAGCATGCCCATTGGTCACCTGATCAAAATTTGGAAGCTTGGCAACTAACTCATATTTATGGCGGTTGCAGTATGGCGGAGTGATGTGATTCCCTTTTGCGACCATCTGACAAGCAAAGTCAATAGGGAAGCCAGATTCTCTTGGCAACTGGGTGACTAATTTAACAATTGCAGCGATTCACTTAACAACTGTGGCAAGAAAGGTCGTAAAATGGGGCAAAAACTCACTTAACAAAGGTCTCTTTTAGCAACAGAATTGTTGGGCTCAGTTGTGGTCGTAAGTCGAGGACTACCTGTAATTCAGATTCTCAAAGCTGTACTATTTAGTTCATTCAAATGCCATTTCATTCTTTCCTAGAAAATCACTGCTTCATGCATGTATTCTATAGGCTGTGGTAATAAACAAATGTGATCATTCCAAAACGTGGTTTGTCATTTCCTCTTTTCCTCACATGGCTGATTCATTTGCTGTTACCTCACAGGGGGGCTGAGGTAAAGGTATCCTTCATGTACTTGTGTGTGAGTGTACACGCTTACAGACGCCAACAGGAAGCAAAACAGACACTAATCTTAAAATGTGGAGTGCTGCCGGTACTGCATTGCAAGGAAATGGAAAATAATAACAGAAAATGAGTGAGATAGAATTTTAACGTTAAAACAAGAACGGATAGGAACAGAATGCCCTCCCGTTCAATTCATCCTATTGAAACATTGTTAATTCCATTCAGCCTCATTTTCCGCCACCCCAGAACTGGATTCAGAGGAAGATCTTCCCACGCAGTCTGCTGTGTTTGCCAGCTGAGCCCATTAATTTCACACTCAGCCGCAGCCCACTTCAAAGCATGGGCCTACCAGACTTTCGTTTCGCAGCCCACTTTTAAAGCATGAGCTGTTGGTTGTCCAACTGGTGAAGCTCTTCCATCTCACCTTGCCTCCCCACTCAGGAACTACTAGAGTCAACAAAGCTTCCTGTCTGCAGGGCTTTTTTGTTTTTTGTTTTTTAAAGTAGCTTCATTTTATACTGTGGTTCTTCAACTGGGCATATCCTGTGGTTTATGAAGCAATTTGCTTGTTTCTGACTGGAAGACTCCATTTGGGAAACTGCTGCCTACCTGATTGCGTAAAATATAGTTTCTGGTTTTTTAGGAGCGGGGGTGTTAATGACACTATTTGAGACTGGAAAAAAACCCTGGTAATTGGGTCAAATGGTTTAAGAGCACCGCTCTTGCATCTACTGCTCAGGTATTTTTGCATAAAATCGGGCAAAGACACACAACCTCCGATGATCCTATTGTAAAATACACCATGAACTGATTGGCGTTGTTTCCAAACAGAGGTGGGCTTGTATTTGCAGAGTATCCACAGCAGACAATGTGTGAGGATAATTTGTGACCATTACTGTATTAGTTAAAGTGGTATTTCTTAAAATTATTTTCACATACCTTAATTAATCTCCAGGAGTCAATAAACAACCTGAAACTTCACGAAGGGGTCAAGGATAGAGCCTGGATAGCTCAGCAGACTAATGCATTGTAATTTAACTCCCGCTGTCTGCAATTAGTAAGTTCGAATCTTGCCAGGCTCAAGGTTGACTCAGCTTTCCATCCTTTCTAAGGTAGGTAAATTGAGGACCCAGTTTGTGGGGGCAATAAGCTGACTTTGTAAAAATATACAAAAGTATGAAAGCTTTTGCTTAACGCATTGTAAGCCGCCCTGAGTCTCCGGAGAAGGGCGGCATATAAATCAAATTAAAAAAAAAAAAAAAAAGGAGCTGAGGAGTTTTGGGACCCTCAGTTTACACGGTAGCTGCATTTCAGGGAAGGAGTTGAGAATGTCTGACTTTTCTGTTTTGGATTGAAAGACTGCACAGCTCTACCTCTGATAGCTTTCAATTTTTATTTCCTATAGCACAGTGATGGTTAAACTTTTTGGTGCTGAGTGCCCAAAGCACACATGCGTAAATGTACATGCGCCAGTGGTGGGTTTCAAAATTTTTTACTACCAGTTCTGTGGTTGTGGCTTGGTGGGCGTAGTATGGCTTGGCGGGCGTGGCTTGGTGGGCATGGCAGGGGAAGGACACTGTAAAATCTCCATTCCCACCGCACTCCAGGGGAAGGATACTGCAAAATCCCTATTTCCTCCCGATCAGCTGGGACTCTGGAGGCAGAGAATAGATGTGGGCGGGGCCAGTCAGAATTTTTTACTATGGTTCTCCGAACTACTCAAAATTTCCGCTACCGGTTCTCCAGAACTGGTCAGAACCTGCTGAAACCCACCTCTGATGTGCGCGTGCCCAAACCCTCAAAATGCAATGCGAGCGTCCCCTTGTGCATGTGCCCCGCCCCCAAGCGTGCATCTCTGTGCATGTGCCCCGCCTCTGGCGCATACGCTCCGCACCCCCCCACACACCCAGTTTTGGGCCTGGAAAGCCTTCTGCACCAACCTGCACCCCCTCGCACATGCGCCCCGTCCCCACGCATACATGTGTGCATCCCCCGCATGCCCCCTGCCCCTTGTGCATGCACATGTGCATCCCCACACGTGCCCCGCCCCCGCACATATGTGGCAGAGACCCGAAGACCAGCTGGAGGCGGAAAGCACGCGCACATGCGCGGTGGAGCTGGGCTGCGGCAATGGCTGGCATGCCAGCAGAGAGGGCTCTGCATGCCACATGTGGTATGCATACCATAGGTTCGCCATCACGGCTATAGCAAATGCAGGAAAAGGAACTCAAAATGATTAAGAGTTTGACTGTTTTGCTCTTTTTTTTTTATTCCATTCAATGGGTTCCTGGGCAAGCCTGAGTCTGATAATTTTTTTATTTTTCCCTTTTGCAAAGTATGGGGATGTGTTTTATTACTCCAGTATTGTGATGCCGAACCATGTTCTTTGCACTCTCTTACTCAGCACCTGGAGAGAGAATCCAGATGGCTCATAGGCTTTTGTTGTGGCCCGCCAGCGGCCTGCGCGGATCGTGGCTGATCCTGACGACGAGGAGGCTGGTGTGGGGTCGTGCCAGCAGCCTGCGCAGCCGGTGCTCGCATCGGACAGCGAGGAGGCCGAAGAGGATGTGATGCCAGAGGCAGAGACTCAGCCAGGGCCTTCAGAACCTCCAGAGGCTCCTTCAAGCGGAGAGAGCGAAGTGGAGGAGCCTCTCCTCAATGCTCGATCACGCAGGGCTGCCAAAAGGCAGGAGTGGCTACTCAGGAGGAGGAGGTCTCCTCGAGAGTAAGGTTTGAGGATAATGAATCACTCCCTTAGCCTATTTAAGTCACACGCCATTAGTAAGTTTCTTGCTAAAAACAACTTGTAATTATCATCAGAGCATTTCTGAAGAGTGAGTGTCTTATCGTATCCTGTTTTCTGGGCTGGTTGCCAACCTTTGCCGGACTTTGTTTATTCTTGGTACGTTATAACTTTGGTGTGTGTCACAATCCTTGGGAATCCGGAGCTGGGGCAGAACAGCTTTTCTGCTCTTTCTCAGCTTTTTAAGATCAGCTGATAAACAACAGCTCCAAACTGCTTTTGAAGAGATGAGGACCAGGGACTGAAGCAGCATGGAAGTGTCTTTGGTATCAGGTTGGAGGAAGAATAAATAAGGGGCAGGTGGATTCAGCTCTGCTCCCTGTGTGGATGTTAAAATTAGGTTTCTGCTCCAGTTACTAGGATCAGAATGGCTGTGATTACACGGTGTTGCTTTGAGACTGATACTGCTATTTGAGCAGATAGCCCCTGCCCTCGGTTCACACATGCCAGACAGGATGTGTGTGTCTGCTAGTATTTGGTAGGAGTCGTGGTGGTACAGCGGTTAGAAAGTAGCATTGCAGGCAAATTCTGCCCATAGCCAGCCGTTCGATCCTGACCGGCTCAAGGTTGACTCAGCCGTCCATCCTTCCGAATCCCAGATTGTTGTGGGCAATATGCTGACTCTGTAAACCGCTTAGAGAGGGCTGTAAAAGCACTATGAAGTGGTATATAAGTCTAAGCGCTATTGCTATTGCTGTTTTGCCCATTGGACCCCTGCTTGGTGATATAACCTAAAAGCAGTGAATAGATATTAATACGGTTGAAGCCAGTGAACAAGTTTATACCATGTTATTATATTAAAAATTATATTAATTTTTGCTCCGAAAGAAGCATTAGGGCTTATTTTCTGGTTAGGTCTTATTTTGGGGGAAATACAGTACTAAATGCTATCCATCTGGCTGAAAATCTTAACTGGGGCTTATTTTGGGAGTAGGACTTATATTATGAGCATCCTGAAAAATCATGCTAGGATTTATTTTCTGGTTGGGTCTTATTTTCTGGGAAACAGGGTAATTGAGAACTGTTGGACTAAATGGGATTGACTATTTGGGATATGGAAACAAACCCCAATTTCATCTCCTCCTCTTCCTCTTCCCCTTAACAACTTACCTCCTACACCAACTCCTCCTGGGCCTACTCCAACTCCTGGAAGTCCACCAACACCAGGAAGTCCACCAACACCAGGAAATCCACCACCACCACCAGGAAGTCCACCAACACCAGGAAATCCACCACCACCACCAGGAAGTCCACCAACACCAGGAAATCCACCACCACCAGGAAGTCCACCACCACCAGGAAGTCCACCACCACCACCCAGTCCAGTTCCAGGGACAGCTCTGCCACCTGCAAAGAGAAAGAAAGCCATAAAGGGCACAAGCAAAACAGGGTGAAATTGGGAGAAGGGAGTCATGAATCTCTTGAATGTTGGCGAACATGGGTCAAATACTGATCAATAATTAGCATTAATTTATTAGAACAGCAGAGAACAGAAAGCCTTAATTGCAGAAAAGGGCTTTTTTCAGAAACTTCCATTGATGGACAATAAAGAAATAAATACACACAAACATACACACGCACACACACACAATCAGCTATGAAAGGCTGGAGGGTGAAATGGTAGTATGGTAATGGTAATCTCTATGGGTAGTTTACTAGTTTTGCAATCCTCAAATCACAAAGAAATGGAAGGATTTGTGGGTGGAAAGCTAGAATAGCACAGTGGCTAAGATACTAACCTGTGATTTAGGAAATTTCCAGATCACTTAAATTCAGAACTTAATGCATAACTTTTAGAATGAGTATAATTCCATTCATCCATAGCTAACATGCTTACTATTAGCTGGGTTAATAGGAACTGTAGTCCAGCATATTTGGATAACATCAGGTTAATGAAGTTTATGCAGAACAAAAATGAAATCCAAACTTTCCTTAGAGGAGCCATTTAAAGAAGCTCCAGGGGAGGAACTAAGACTCTGTTAGGGACCTCCAATGGAAGGGAAGGGAAGGGAAGGGAAGGGAAGGAGATGGGATAGGATAGGATAGGATAGGATAGGATAGGATAGGATAGGATAGGATAGGATAGGATAGGAGCCTGTAGTACAGTGGACTAAAGCAGTGGTCCCCAACCTTTTTATCGCCGTGGCCCGCTGAGCGCGCGCAGGGGTGGGGGCACGGCCCAGGAGCTTTTGCGCACGGCCCATTGCGCACGGCCCAGGAGCTTTTGCGCACGGCCCAGGAGCCTTTGCGCTGCAGCGTTCATGTCCCCCGGCCGCTGCGCGGCCCGGTGCCAGGTACTCCACGGCCCGGCACCGGTCTGCGGACCGGGGGTTGGGGACCACTGGACTAAAGCACTGTTATTAACCACTGCTGCTTGCAATTACTGCAAGTTCAAATCTCACCAGGCTCAAGGTTGACTCAGCCTTCCATCCTTTCTAAGGTAGGTGAAATGAGGACCCAGATTGTGGGGGCAATAAACTGACTTTGTATAAATATACAAAAGTATGAAGGCTATTACTTAACGCATTGTAAGCCGCCCTGAGTCTCCGGAGAAGGGCGGCATATAAATTAAAGCAAAAATAATAATAAAAAAAATTAGAATAGAATAGAATAGAACAGAACAGAAATATTATTTATTGGCCAAGTGTGATTGAACACACAAGGAATTTGTCTCCAGTGCATAAGCTCTCAGTGTACATACAAGCAACAAGTGATAAATCATGATCATAATCATAAAATACAATCATCATAATCATAAGATACAACACTCAGTGATAGTCATAGGGCAGTGGTGGCAAACCTTTTACACTACTCACTAAATGCTGAACAGGTATGTGCTTCACATGCTACATTCGCGTGCATGCCATCCACGCTAACGCATGGCTCCTCCCCATGTGCTGTGCACGCAACTGCACATCTGCGCATGCGCACAGCTTTCATGTGCGCCACCGTGTGCTGCGCGCACAACTGCACCATCTGTGCATGCGCAGCTTTTGCGCGGGCGCTGCAGTGCGCTGTGCACGCAATCCCACCATCTGCACATGCATGTGGTTTTTGTGCGTGCAATGCACATGCGCGAATGCTGTCTCTGATGTGTGCGCCACGCACCAGTACTCTCATATGCATGCACAAATGTGCGCGCATGCGCAGGAGAGCTGCAAAGACCAGCTGGGTCCTCTGAATTGCGCGCATGAGCACCGGAGGCCCGAACACCAGCTGGGATGTGTGCACATGCGCAGCTACAGGTGAGTTGGGCGACAGCTCGCATGCCTGGAAAAATTGCACTGCATGCCACTTCTGGCATGTGTGCCATAGGTTCGCCATCGCGGTCATAGGGTATCTAAATAAGAAATCAACATAAATCATAATAGGATACTAATAAGCAGATATTATGATATTATTATGTAGATGCCCGAGAAGCATTTAGGTTCCACAATTAAAAATGAGCCTTGGTGGCACAGCAGACTAAAGTGCTGTTAAGTAGCACCAGCTGCCTGCAATTACTGCGAGTTCAAATCTCACCAGGCTCAAGGTTGACTCAGCCTTCCATCCTTTCGAGGTAGGTAAAATGAGGACCCAGTTTGTGGGGGCAATAAACTGACTTTGTATAAAATAGAACAGCGCTTGGGGGAGCCAAAAAGCCCTACTAAGCAGGTATATACAAAAGTATGAAGGCTATTTATTTTATTTTATTTATTTTATTTTATTAGATTTCTATACCGCCCTACTCCCGAAGGACTCAGGGCGGTGCACAGTCAAACAATAAAAACACATACTGCATCTACATATTGCTTAACGCATTGTAAGCCGCCCTGAGTCTCCAGAGAAGGGCGGCATATAAATCGAACCAATAAATAAATAAATAAATAAATAAATAAATAAATAAATAGTGCCATCAGTGAGAAGCATGTTAAGAAGAATCCATTCTTTAGATGAACACGTTCTCCCTTCAGCCATGGTAATTATCCTGGTCTGTGACACTGAAGGTCTTTACATGTATCATGCAGTTGCTTAGCAAAAGTATAACATGTGTATGTGTCCAGGTGGCTCCACTCCCTATCCATCTGCCACATTCTACTCTAGTCTCATTGTAGGAATTGTGCCTCTCCCAGTGCATTGTTGGGATTATGTGCCATTAAACCAACGTCAGCTCAGAGTGTCCAGATTTTCTCCAGGTGAATCTGTCCCCAACCTGGTCCTTCAGGTCTTCCAAAGATTGCATTAGTAGTAGCCTAAACATATGAGGATAACGGAGCATGAACTACTGTAGCTAGTAGTTGTTCATGTCTAGAAAAAAGTCAAATGGTGGTAGTAGGAGCATCTAACTACCACCATCACCATCCATGAAAAGAATGGTGCCAAGAACAATTTGAAACTATGATTTGTTTTTCTGGAGAATGGCAACTTTTCAGTTCAGGCTGTTTAAGACCTATACTACAAAACCACCCATCCACAATGCTATAATTATTGTAATAATAATAATAATAATAATAATAATAATAATAATAATAATAATATCATGAGAAAGTATGCTTTCAGCTGAACTTGATGTCGTAGTTTAATGATGTCATAGTATGTTTGTGAAATTTTCTCAGCAGTTACGTGGAAGTGGTCACTATCATTGTCATCATGTAGGATTTTTTTTTAAAACTTCGCAATGTAACCACAATCCTGGGATTTCCTACGTTAGTGCCAACTACAACTTACTTCAGTTTCTGAGCTCAAGAGTTGTTAAGTGCTGCTACCTAGAAAAGACTTCTCTTGTGAGGAATGCAATCATATTAATTTTATAGTAATTATTTTATTTACTGCTGCAATAAGGAGTAATTGCAGCCTTTGCGACTGCCTAATTCTGGGATGGTGAGGATATAATCGTAAAATAAATACAATATTTTGTGAATGAATACTTAACACTGTTGCTGAATCCCCAGAGCTACAGGGATGAAAACTTCCCTCTTCAAAGAAGGTCTGTCGTGACGGGAAGTCACAGCTTATTAAAAGCTGATGGTTTTTAATACAATTTGTTGGTTGAAAAGATGCTCCATGACTCCTTCTGATTTTTTTTTTGTTACCATAAATTAATGTGGCTTTCCTCCTACAATATCTGGGGGGCGGGGGTGATAATTGCTGCTGCTACAGCTGCTGCTGCTGATAAAACTAAGCAAATCTCATAAGAGAATCTTCCTGTAATTCTAAATTAGCCATTCCCAATATCATGCCTTTCTAATATTTATGAATCAGTCACTCTGAATGTAGGCTCCTGAGAGTCATAAACAGCCCCTGTGATGCTCCTCACTGAGCTTGTCGATCAGAAAGGTCGGCAGTTTGGCGGTTCGAATCCCTAGTACAGATCTCCTGCGTGAGTATTGTATTGATCATATAATATATGTGGGTATCTGGGTGTATGCATAATTTTTTGTTTTATTTATGTAGTGTATATTGAGAGCTGTATGCAACGAAGTTTCATTTTAATGTATGCTGATTAGTGTACATTTAAAATGATAATAAAGTTATTCTAACTCCAAGTCTAAGCCTATTCTTCTATTTTACTCCGAGGAACTGCCACAAAGAAGAGCGGGTCAACCTATTTTCCAAAGCATCAGAAGGCAGGACAAGAAACCACAGATGGAAACTAATCAAGAAGAGAAGCAACCTAGAACCAAGAAGAAATTTCCTAACAGTGAGGACAATAAATTAGTGGAACAGCTTGCCTTCAGAAGTTATGGGTGCTCCATCACTGGAGGCTTTTAAGAAGAATCCAGACAGCCACTTGTGCGGAATGGTATAGGTAGGATTTCCTGCTTGAGCAGGGGATTGGATCAGGGGTGGGTTCTAATTTTTTTTTACTACCGGTTCTGTGGGTGTGGCTTATTTTGTGGGCATGGCTTGGTGGGGGGGGGGTAATGTGACTGGCTGGGCGTGGCCAACTTTTTTTTTTTAACTTTTAAAACCATTTTTTCTACAACCTTAAGAGGATGCAGAAAAAAATGCTTTAGAAGCCTCTGACGATCAGGCACCTCAGCTGGGATTGCCAGAGGCTTTTAAAGGCATTTTTTTTCCTACAACCTCTTCCAACTGAGCCACGCGATCATCAGAGGCTTTTTTTTTTACTTTTAAAAGCATTTTTTGGCCAAAGAGGTTCTAGAAAAAATGCTTTTAAAAGTTTTTTTTAAAAAAGCCTCTGATGAGGTGGGTGAGGTAAGCGAGCGGTGACTGGGCTGGGGACAGGTTCAGGGGCGTGGCCAGCCAATATTAGTACCGGTTCTCCGAATTACTAGAAATTTTTACTACTGGTTCTTGTGAACTGGTGCGAACCGGGAGCAACCCACCACTGGATTGGATTAGAAGACCGGGATTATTCTGTTATTTTAGGAAGTTCAAAACATTGCATGGAATGACATGCATGTTGTAGCCAGAACGATCCACTAGATGGCAGCCTCTTTCCTGGATGGCTCTATCTCTGACAGGGGCTGAGTCATAGACATGGAAAAGGAAAGAGTGATGTTCAAGGTGAACTTCTGCTTTCAACACATTTCACCCATCCCACCCATGCCTCACCTCCACTTCTGAAGAGAAACAAAGGCTGCCCATAGAAACCAATGGAAAAACCCAGACTTTCAGCGCAACTGCCACTGGGCAATACATTGACTAATACAATGAATGGTTTCAACAAAAAACTTTCCCATTCTTTCTGACACTGATCTCAGTTCATGTGTTTAAAAAAAAACATTAATAAATGCAATGAATCTGTGTGTAAGCTTAACGGAACAAAAGATTAGCACTATTTCATTCTCCCAGGTCTACACTGGAAATTATGTTTCTGCCTTTCTTGTAAAAATGAAAACGATCTCTCAAAATCCAATGGAGAAATCAAGGGTGTTATCATAACTAGGCAGCAGGACCTATCTAGCAACAACTCTCTCACTTAACAAAAATCTCTTCTTTCTCCCAACATGTAACTAAAGCCCATATTCTTTCACTTCCTTCTCCAAAGGGTAGACTATAGAAAGAAGAAAGTTTTACAGTATTGTAAACTAATAACCTAACCTAATAACCTAACATTGGAAGCCACTCCTTTATAACTCTTTTCTTTGCACTCTTTTTATTAATTTATTGCTTTTTTAAACTTTCTTTCAAAATTTAATATGGTTTTTATTCTTTTCAATATTTAAGAAAAAAATGATATACATTTTTTTTTAAAAAAAGAAAGAATAGAAGTGCACTGTGCCTGGAACATTGAACTTGTGTCTCTAATCAAAGTGAGGGGGTGGGGGTTAGATTAGATGACCTACAAGGCAGTGGTGGGTTTCAAATTTTTTTACTACCATTTCTGCGGGCGTGGCTTGGTGGGCGTGGCAGGGGAAGGATACTGTAAAATCTCCATTCCCTCCCCAATTCAGGGGAAGGTTACTGCAAAATCACCATTTCCTCCCTATCAGCTGGGACTTGGGAGGCAGAGAATAGATGAGGGTGGGGCCAGTCAGAATTTTTTACTACCAGTTCTTCAAACTACTCATAATTTCCGCTACCGGTTCTCCAGAACTGGTCAGAACCTGCTGAAACCCACCTCTGCTACAAGGTCCCTTCCAACTCTGTTAATCGCACCCAATCAAGCCTAGATAATCCATCCTTTGTAAGAATAGCAACTGCAGCAGAGGCAGTAAAATCAGGGAAGGGAAGGAAGGCTTTCTAGGCTGAAGTGTTGGATTTTATTTTTTTTAAAAATTGATTTATATGCCGCCCTTCTCCGGAGACTCAGGGCGGCTTACAGTGCGTTAAGCAATAGCCTTCATACTTTTGTATATTTTATACAAAGTCAGCTTATTGCCCCCACAAACTGGGTCCTCAATTTATCTACCTTAGAAAGGATGGAAGGCTGAGTCAACCTTGAGCCTGGCAAGATTCGAACTTACTTTAATTGCAGACAGCTGGTGTTAAATTACAGTGCTTAGTCTGCAGAGCTATCCAGGCTCCTGGATAGCTCTGCTGGATAGCTCTCCTGGATTTCAAGATAGTTCAGAACCCATTTCACACATTTGCTTCTGGCTTTTACTAGGAGCCACAGATGCCACAGATGAGGCGCCCCAAAGAAAAAACACATCAGAGCTGGTGCCCCTGCCCCTCGATTTTAATGCAGGATGGATGTTTGGGCAGAACCTCAGGGACTGGAAAATAGTGCACAGTCTCAATATCCTGCTTGGTGAAACCAGACGGTTCTGTGGTTTCCTAAAATCCCTTCAACTGCTTGACTCCCCATTGCCAGCTCACTTCTTCAATAAAAAACAAATGGTAGGCTGAGACAGTCCAGGAAAAAGTGGTAGCAAGCAATATGCTACAATTCCTAAATCTCTCCGGAGAGCAGATCAGGTGCACCTGGGAAAGATGCAGTATTTAGAACCTAAAGAGGAGGTGCTCAAAATCCATCCTATTTGATCCTACACTTTTTTTATTTGAAGCTATTTGTGTGATTTTCCTTCATCTCCCAGATTTTTTTAATTTATTTTTTTGGAAAAACACAAGAAGCTACCATCATCCTGGTCCCATACAGACAAGAGCAAAATTTGCCACCCAAACCCAACAATCATATCAGATCACTCAGAGAGAGATAAAGAGAGATTAGCTAGCTGTTAAGTCTAAATAGAAAGTTTGGAAGCGTTAACTTGGTTTCTCCAGTATCTAAAAAAGGAGAACAGAGGTACATTTTTGAGGACAGAAGCAAGGACTGAAGGCGGAAGAAGAATTCCTGTTTCCTGTGTCTAGTTCCTCCATTTGCCACCTCATTCCCTGCATGGAGGCAAGTTTGTTACAGTCAATGTCAATTCACAAAGCATCAGGAGAAAAGATTACAAAGGAGCAGTAACAGGTGCAGAAGAATCAGGCATCTCCCCATATTTACTCTGTCCAAACCGCACCTTTCTGCCAGTTTTTGTTAACCTCAGTTTGGTTGACCTCAGCCGATCTCAAATAGGATTGGGCCTATGGTAGTAAGAACTTAGATGGCCTATCACAGGGGTGTCAAACTCGATTTCATTGAGGGCCGCATCAGGGTTGTGTTTGACTTCGAGGGCCGGGGTGGGCGTGGCCAGGGTGGGCATGGCCATAGGGCGGCAGGAGGCCATTGTGGCTGAAAACGGAACCTGGGAAGGCCACATGCGGCCCTCACAAGCTCCATTTTATCTGGCAGAGGCCGGTCTTTTGCTGTTTCCAGGGCGACACCACGGGCCAGATCTAAGTACCCCGTGGGGCAGATCTGTTTGATGCCCCTGGCCTATCACAAGGAAATCCCAAAATTGAAGATTGGACTAGGAGGTAAAAAGTCTCTCTTTGAGGGAGATGGGCTGCTCAGAAATGTGAAAAATAAATAAAGAAAAAGAAAAAAAATACCACTAGAAGATAACGGTACATCATTTTTATCCTGTTTCCAAGAAAACAACACGGATAGTCAAAATTAAGCTCAAAGCAAAGGAGAATTCCTTCTCCTCTGCCAATTCCACAAAAGATTCTTGGTGCCTTATTTAATTTAGTCTGTACATTCTTTATCCTCCTCAATTTACTTCATCTTCAGTTTCCGTTTCAGTTCTAGTTCAAGCTCATCTAAAGATGATGAACCAACTCACCATAAGCTGCTGCTTTGGCGGCTACTTTGGCAGCTACTGCTGCCGCTACCGCTGGTCCACCGGCACCTGAAGGAAAGAAAAAGATGAGAGAAGTATACTTGTCTTACTACCTTTGGGATCCTGATGGCAATAACAACAGATGTTCCTACTATATCTGGGTCATGGAGGGGTGGATTTCAGAAAGTCATGGCTGTGATGGCTGAAGCAGCATAATTGTGGGGGAACACATTTAGTTGGACTAAATGAGTTTTAAGTTTGCTTATCTTCCCATAGCCCTATAAAACAGAGAGGTACCCAAAGTCTTGTTGGACCTCCAAATCCAATGACATAGGCTCTTCAGCACACCATGCCCTACTGACCATAAGGGTCATAGGCTGTAGAGGGAGAGTTAATGTTTAATGTGTCCCTCTCTTTATCACTTCATCTCCACTTTGTTAATCTACAGTCACCTCCATCTAGCTTTTCTCCCAGGGACACAGACACACAAAATATTATTTTGGACTTCCCTCCTAGTAGGATGCAGCTAGCTAGGTGCTAGACCTGGCCTATTCCTATCATGTACTTCCTGTATATGCATCTCCATTATGTTTCAGTTATAATACCTGCTTCACTACTCATTGATCACATCATCTGGGGGCTCAGGAATGCCCATGTGCACTCACAGAATGCTTCAACCTCCACAAGGTTTATGAGTCCAGAGTCTTTCTGCTGAGCTCTGACTTCCAAGTATATAGCTGGCCTTATCCACTTCTGTGATGGAACTTCAAGACAAGGTGAGGATGGCTGCTAATGACTAGCTCAGGGGTCTGCAACCTTATATACTCAAAGAGCCATTTGGACCTGTTTCCCACAGAAAAGAAAACACCGGGAGCCACAAAACCTGGGTGGGCATGGCCAACTTGATGTCACTCACTTTCACTGGTCACATGACCCCCTCCTAGCCACGCCTACCCAGCCAGTCATTAGGGCAGAGAACCAGTTGTTAAAAAACACCGGGAACCACAAAATCCTTTTGACATCTCTCTCTCTCCCCTCTCTCCCTCTCTCCCCCCCTCTCTCCTTCTCTCTCTGTCTCTCTTTCTTCCCCTCTCTCTGTATCTCTCTGTCTCTGCCCAGGCTGTTGCCCTTACCTTCTCAGGCCAGGCGAGGAGTGACTGGGAGGGGAGGGCGAGGGGCGGGGCCATCCAGTGTTGGGATCACCTGACAGGGAGCCACAGCAGAGGGCCCAAAGAGCCACATGAGGCTCCAGAGCCGTAGGTTGCTGACTCCTGGACGAGCTAGTCCTGGATCAATTCAGATGCACTCTACTTTTTTAGGTGAGGGAAAGAGAAGCAATAGCCCTCCAATTTTGCTGGACATGCATCAGCCCCAGCCAAGGGACCAAGGATAATGAAAGTTGGACATGGCCATCTTCTCCATAACTGACTTTTAATATCTGGGAGTGAATAGGCCTCTGGTAGATAAGAGGCTATATAGATCTTAGTTTTATTCGTCTTAGTTTTATTGACATCATGGTAGCCCATAATGAACTGTCCTTATTCTCAGGCAGTGATCCAGCAAGACAGATTTGATATCTCTTACCTAGTCCTCCTGGAACACCACCAACACCAGGCAACAACCCTCCTCCACCAAGGGTCCCAGCTCCAGGGATGGTGCCTGCTCCAGGCAAAAGTCCAGCGCCTAGTAAGAAAAAAGTAGGGATGCATATTGGCCAAAGTTCCTTGTACTTTGACTCCCAGCAGAATGGAGAGCAAATATTTCTAATCCCAGCATAATCCATCTAAGTCATTTGATCCCCAACCTCGAGTTACTGTCTGAAAAAAAAAGGCTCTCTGCAGGATTGAACTCCATAGAAGAAACATCTCATTTTCTACAGACAAGAAAGTAGTGTTAAGGCCCTTTGTTCCAAAAATTTTAATAATTAGAGTCAATATCCTTTAGCTGATGGAAGTTCAGTGACTCTTTTAGGCAGTAGATACTCTTCTATGATATTGTGGGTTTAAGAAAGTAAGAACGCACAAGAATTAAAAAGAAAGATAATTTTAAAATGGCTTAAAGTCTCATGAGATTTCATGGGATAACCTACAGATATTTGAGATTTAGCCATGGTTTTTTTTTTAAAAAAAGTTGTAATTTAACAATTATGATTAGGAGCCCTGGAGACCACAGAGGCTACATAGGTTTTAAAACATTAAATGTTTATTCACCCTGGAAATCCTGCAGGGTGAATTTTGAGCACGTGCTGCAAAAATGCTGGTGGTTCTTTTTGGCTTGTTATACTTACCATATTTTGCGGCTGCCTTAGCAGCAGCAGCCTGAGCTCCTACACCTGCAGAAGAAAACAGAACAACATTGTTGTGGGGTTTGTTTCATTTTATATTCTAGTGGCTTTCCCTGTTTGGTGCACTGTCAGTAGAATATAAAACGAGAGCAAACTCCACTTCCTACTAGCACTGATGCATTACTAGTTTGGCAATGAAACATCTGCAAGAAAACCATGAAGCTTAGAGAGCATCAAGGACCTCTCAGTTCCTCCCTGTCCTGTCTTCTGATAAACAAAATCAAGACAGATTCAGTTTTTTTTTCTTCTGCTGGCTTCAATCTCTCGACTGTGAAATTGCTTTACCAAGTCCATCCTTAACTATTATTTCGTACCTTCTAAGGTCATCTTTAAATTATTTTACAGATACAGTCAGGGGTGGGCTTCAAAAATTTTAGCAAGGGGTTCTCTGCCCGGTTGCTGGGTGGGCGTGGCCATGGTGGGCATGGCCTAGTCAGCCTCCTGCACCATGGGGGGGGGCGTTTTTGCCCTCTCAGGGCTCCGGAGGTTTTCTTTGAGCCTCCGGGAGGGCGAAAACAGTCTCCCCAGATTCCGGAGGCCCTCTGGAGGCCGGAAATGCCTTCCCAAACTTCTGGTAGGCCCGTTTTTCACCCTCCACGAGCCTCCGCAGCACGCGCCCTGCACTTACTTGCATCCAAAACGGGCCGCATAGGGACTCCTGGGAGGGGTGGGATGGAGTGGGCAGGATGACCAGCCAGGAGTGGGATTTGGGAGTTCTCCGAACTGCACAGAATCTTAGTTGGAGATTCTCCCGAACCCCTGCGAACCCCCAGCAGCCTACCCCTGGATACAGTGGAAAACGCAGTCATTCAGCAAAACCTGGAGGGCCACAGGCTCCCCAAATCCGTGGCATTCTCTGACTATGTCAAAATGCCAAATTTGCCCTGAGCTGCAAGACAGGAAGACAAGAAGGGCTTTGCTAACACTCTAGTCTGACTTTCAGCCAAACACACAAAGACATTTACCTGTACCCGTTGGATAGCCAGGTTTCCCTCCAAGTCCTCCAGCATATGCACCACCTGCCCCGCCTGAAACCACATAGAGAAGGCAGAATCTGCATGAGAATAGGTATTAATATTTTTGCCTAATACCAGATATAAAGAAAATGGAGGGAAAAAAATTCATTGGGGCTCTTCTTGGTAAAAACACCCCCCCCCATACAGGTAGTCCTCGGCTTACAACAGTTCATTTAGTGACTGTCCAAAGTTACAACAGCACTGGAAAAAGTGACGTATGACCGTTTTTCACATGTACGGCCGTTGCAGCATCCCCGTGGTCACATGACTAAAATTCAGATGCTTGGCAAGTGGGTTCATATTTATGATGGTTGCAGTGTCCCAGAGTCATGTGATCAGCTTTTGTGACCTTCTGTCAAGCAGAGTCAAGGGGGAAATCCAGATTCACTTAACAACCGTGTTACTAGCTTAACAAATGCAACGAGTCACTTAACAACTGTGGCAAGAAAAGTCGTAAAATGGGGCAAATTCTCTTAACAAATGTTTTTCTTAGCCTTAGAATTGAGATATTTGATTGTGAATGTATTAACAGCGGCTAGAATTGTGTTTGCTAAAAACTGGAAAAATGAGAAAATACCAACGCAATATGAAGTTATTAAGAAAATCATGGAATGTGCTGAAATGAGTAAATTGACATTTGAAATTAGAGAACAAGAAGATAAACAATATTATAAGATATGGGATTTATTTTATCAATGGCTAGATAATAAAACATGGAAATGAAATATGGAACATGAAATGAATGTTATAATATTTGAAAATAATTTTTATGAAACGATAAAGCCATAGTTAAATAAATGATAAATGAGGATACTTATTTGTTTGATAATATGAGAAATTAGATCATTAGTAAATTTTGAATATGGGGATGAAGCACAAAAGACTTGTAACCGACTGACACACTGTTTGCAATTGTAATGGATGATGGATTTATGTTTTATGTTTTGTTTAAAAATAAAAAAAAAATCTTTTAAAAAAATGTTTTTCTTAGCCACATACATTTTGGGCTCAGTTATGGTCGTAACTTGAGGACTACCCGTATTGATATGTAGGATTACATTTCCTTTAACTCATCCCTGTTGTGTTTTAGATTTAGAGAGACAGCGATCTCTTAATTCCTCATATTTATAAAGCTTCTCCAACCCAATGCTTTCCGTATGTATAAGACCTCTACAATCATAATCTCAAATCAGCTGGAATATCCAGGATGGGGAAAGGCTGTTCTACATCTAATTATGGAATTAGATCCAATTTCACTCCACTCCTATGCTTGTCATTCTCTCTATCGGCAGCAGCCTTAGAAGATTTGCAAATAATTTTCAATTCTGCCTCCTATCCAAAACCACAATTCCAAGCAAAGCCATGAGACTTAAAAACTAGATTCAAACCAAATGACAGGAATCAGTAAGGAAGACTTGCTCACATTCTCAGGCTTACTGTGAAGCCTGGAGCCAAAGCTTCACAAACCTTCCTTTTAAATGGTTGGCTCACCTGATCTGTTATTAATTCTTTATTTAAAATGGTTATATAGCTGCCCTGCTATATAGCTGCCCAGCTATATAAAACAGTTCTGGGAGGCTTACAGCTGATAAAACAATATATAAAACAGTAACAAATTAATGGTAATAAAAACAGAAACAGAAAAAATGCTCCAATACATCCACATTATTGTCCCATCTTGACCTCATCCTATTCCAGTGCCCCTTCCTGGGGGGAAGAATTAGGTTTTAATGCTCCCTGAAAGGCTAGGGGCCCACCAGTTCTTAAGGCAGAGACTGCAATGGAAAAAGCACACTTCTTTAGGTCCCATAATTTTTTTTTTTAATTTGATTTATATGCCTCCCTTCTCTGGAGACTCAGGGCGGCTTACAGTGCGTTAAGCAATAGCCTTCATACTTTTGTATATTTTATACAAAGTCAGCTTATTGCCCCCACAAACTGGGTCCTCAATTTACCTACCTTAGAAAGGATGGAAGGCTGAGTCAACCTTGAGCCTGGCAAGATGGCAATGTTTAATGCAAGAGAACTGGAGTGAGCCCACCGCATCAGCTCTGGTGGGATGGACACATATCCTCAGAGAGAGGCAGTTCTACAAATAACCTGGTCCCATACTATGTAGGGCTTTAAAAGTTATAACCAGCACCTTTAACTGCACCCTGAAAAAAAACTGGGAGCCAGTACATATCCTGCAACAGGGGTGTAATATCAGTGCAACTAGGGACACTCAACACAGTATGCATTGCTGCATTCTGGACCAGTTGTAACTTCTGGGTGGACTTCATGGATAGCCCCATATAGAGCGGGTTGCAATAAACCAAAGTGGAAGTGACCAAAGTGTGAGTGACTATGAGCAAGGCCTCCTGGTCCAAGAAAGGGCACAATTGGCACACAAGACAGATTTGTGCAATCTGGTATCCAGTCGATAATTTAGTAGATTTAAGGTCTCAAGTTGTGCCCATTTCTATCAAGCCGCAGGCTGCACAACCACTGAACAAAGGATTTATAGAATAGAAGACATGTCAAGAGGACTCACCGAAAGTCAGCTTGCCAGCACCATAAGGCTTACCATAACCTGAAAGAGAACTGTTTGATCAGAACTTGCACACAGGAAACTGGCTTAGTTACTGAGACAGACCACTGCTCCAATTAGGATAGAATACAATTTTTGTGGACTGCTAGGAGTGTTTCTCAACCTTGCAATTCTAAAACTGTGGACTTCAACTCCCAGAATTCCACAATCAGTCGTGTCTGGCTGGGGAATTTTAGAAGCTGAAGTGCACACATCTTAGAGTTACTCAGTAGGCTAGGCCAAACCTATAATTTATAAGCCACAATTGTTCAACTTTATTTTTGGTTTGCAATGCTATGTAAATTGAGAGGTAGAGGGAGGGAGAGAAGGAGGGAGAGAGGGAGAGAAATTCTTCTAATGTAGTCAGTATTTATAGGTTATTTGGACAAATGTTTCAGGGATGTGTAAAATAATTTGTTAAATTCTGGATTAAGAATCACCTGGGAGTTTTGGTGCCTTGATGGGATAACCCAGAGGTAGGCCTGGTTGTTGTCCACCTCCAATTCCTCCAAGTCCTGTAACATCAAGAAGAAGGGAAAGGTCACAAACTGACAATGACCTAATAGTTTAGTTTAGTTTAGTTTAGTTTATTTGATTTATATACTGCCCTACTCCCGAAGAACTCAGGGCGGTGAACAGCCACAAGATAAAAACACATAAATACAAAATTTAAAAACAGAATAAAACCGAATTAAACAATTTGGCCGAAGACAGATTTAAAACACCCCAATGAATTAAAAATGAATTAAAATTTGCGTTTTAAAAAGGAAAAAAGGGAAAAATTAGGCCAGGCTAGCCTGATGGAATAAAAAGGTCTTGAGAGCGCGGCGGAAGGTGCGTAGATCTGGGATCCTCCGTATCTCTGGGGGGAACTCATTCCAGATAGTAGGTGCCCCCACAGAGAAGGCTCTCTCCCTGGGGGCCGCCAGTCGACATTGTTTGGCCGATGGCACCCGGAGGAGCCCCTCTCTATGAGAGCGTACCGGCCAGTGGGAGGCTACTGGTGGCAGCAGGCGGTCCCGTAGATAACCAGGTCCTAAGCCATGGAGCGCTCTAAAGGTGGTAACCAGGACCTTGAAGCGCACACGAAGGACCACTGGGAGCCAGTGCAGCTCGCGCAGGAGAGGTGTTACATGGGAAAGCCATGTCGCTCCCATAACCAGTAGATTTTCCTACTGCACTTTGTAGCCAGTAACCGGAATGGATCAGTCTCTTCCTCACCTACCCTGGAAGCAGGTGATATATGTGATGCATGCACAAATGCAGGCCTCATTTTTTTTCCTTTCTTTTTTTAAGCATCCAACCTACCAGGGATTCCAGCAAAGGCTCCTGCTCCAGCTCCTGAAAGGAGAAGAGGAAAGCATGTTAGAAATTGTTTCTGATATGGACATAGCAGTATGAATATGCCAAGAGAAAAGGAGAAAAAAACCCACACCTAGTACTGTAGCTAGAGCGTAGGATATTTTAAAATCTATCTGAGTGATAAAGGATTTTAAGATATATGATATTTTTCTATTCATTCTATATATACAGGTATGGTAGTCTTGGGTTAACAATGGCAATTGGGAAGGAATTTCTGTCACTAAGCAATGTAATCATTAAGCAAGGACATTGTGTGGTTGCCTTTGCGACCTCCGGTCACCTTCCTCGTTGATTTTGCCAGGGGGCCAGCAAAGAAGGTTGCAAATGGCGATCAGATGACCGTGGGGTGTTGCAACGTCATAACTGCAAGCTGGGTCTACAGCCAATGTAAGTATGATGATCAGTCATAACTACTACTCATTCAGCACTGTCATAAGACTGAACACTCATTGGCATGGTCATTAAATAAGGATCACCTGTAATGTGATTGTTTTTGGTTAATAAGCTACCCTGAGCTTCAAGTTCTTTTCAGATATCAATACTGAGAGTGAAGGTATTTGCAGGTATTATTTTGCACTCTCACACGTGCATCTATGCACATGCACATACACTGAGGCACACACATCCATGCACACAGAGAGACAGAGGTAAATGAATCACAGTGTGAATTAGAAGGGCAGTTATTAAAGTATGGTCTAGGGAACCCAGAGTCAAGTCAGATGAATAAATATTTTACAACTCTTCCGTTTTATTTTCTAATACGGTAAACATCAAGAGATACAATCCACATAAACCAAAGCTCTTTGGAGTCCTCAATCAATTTTAAGACCGTAAAGGGGCCCTGAGACCGAAATGTTTGAGAATCAGAGAATTATAAGATCTCAACAAAACCTTGCTATAAACAATAGCAAACAAAGTAGCATTTGGGGTGGAGATGCCACTTACCTGGGACTTTCTGTTTGACACCTGTTCCAGATGGCACTCCTGGCAAGACTCCTACACCTGGAAAGCGGATTCCTGACATATACAGAAACAGCAACTTTAAGGTTTTAGTTTAACAAGAATAACAGAGTTGGGGGGGAAAATTTGTATTTGAAAAACTTTTTCAATAAAAAAAAAAAAGAATAACAGAGTTGGAAGGGACCTATACCATTTCAGACAAATGGTTGTCCATTCTCTTCTTAAAATCCTCCAGTGTTGGCGCATTCACAACTTCTGGAGGCAAGTCATCCCACTGATTAATTGTTCTAACTGCCAGGAAATTTGAGTCTCTTTATCTCACATGTTAAATTGCAGGTGCTCCATCATTATCTTTTGGTTCGTTGAAATGTGCTAAATTTGCACCTATGCATTCAACATCATGTTGCTGAAAGGAGGGAGGGATGGAATTTACGGAGGCCAAACTCACCTGTGCCAGGAAGTACACCTCCAGGGAAGACTCCTGGAATTCCAACACCTGTCAAACAGAAGAAGAAAGATGCTGCCATTCTTCCTTCCATGACTTTCTCCGACTGGAGCATTATAGTTAGTTCAAATGCCTTAGCTAGAAGAATTCTCTCACTCGTTCTTGATGTCAATTTAATGGTTTCAGCAGATGGCAGCGCAAAACTGATCTTAGAAGCTAAGCAAGATCAGCCTTGGTTTGGTTAATACTTTACTTGGATCGAGAACCACCTGCTAATTTGGGACATTGCCTTGGGAAGCTGAAATAACATCCCAGAAGAAGACCGTAGCAAATTTCTTCTGTAATGCTAAGAGGCTTTGTGTGTTAAAAAGCTCTGGGCAATAATTTTAACTAGGTGAGATTCAAAGTCACTAGGTCAACTAGTTTCTACCAAGTCAAAAACACCTGCTGAATTGATTTTAGCCCCCTATCTTGAATGCTTTTATTTTTGTTTACCTGTTATACAGAGTTATAAAGTTATAAAGTTTAGGACTTCCAAGCACGTCCTAAAGCAGTTTAGTCTCAATAGGCATTTTCTCTTTAAATTATCCATCAGCTAGTTCTCAGTTTCTCACTCTAAGACAGCAAAGCAAGACCATTTATGCCAATCAATGTTTGTGCAGGGACTTCAATTTCCAGAATTCTCAGTGTTTATGCTACTTAGGAATTCTGCAAAATTAAACACATCTGGAGAGCATCAAATCAACAACGGCTGATGTTAAATTTATTTATTTATGCATTCTATCAACTTGTATAGATGAACAATAACAGCAAAAAAAAAAAAAAAAAAAAGGAAAAACATCTAATGATCACTGAGAACAAACCCAATTATACCCAATAACATCTCATAGGCCATCTACCTGTCTGACCCCCATGCCCTGGAGCATCCCTGGATCTTCAGCCCTTTCCGAAAGGCCAGCATTGCAATAAAACAGATTCCATTAGATGACATCCTTTAATTGAGGGGACCTAAATTGATTCCTCTTGGATCAAATGGGATGGGTAGAAACTGGGGGAAGGTAGCCCTACAAATACAGTAACCTGGTTCCATGTCCTGAAAGGAACTATAGGTGACAATCAGCGCCTTGAATTCATCCAAAAACACACTGGGAATCAATATAGATAGTGTAGTAGAGGTGTAGCATGAATATACCGAAACATAAACATAACACTTCACATTGCTGCATTCTGAAACATTTGCATTGCGGTAATTCATTTGGGAGATAATTATGAAAGTGATTATGATCAGTGCCTCCTGGCCCAGGAAAGCTACAATTGACATACAAATGAAGTTGTACAAAAGCTCTTGCTCGCCAAGATCGTTATCTGCTCTTCAAGCAGAGATCCAGGAGAACTCCAGATTGCGTTCCAGTTCTGTTTGGAGAAGTGCAATGATCCCATGCAGAAGTAAACATGGAAAACCAACAGAGCCAGAGGCCCTAAAACCCAAGCCACTCAAGACTTGCTTGGATTGGGCAGAAGATTAAATACTCTTAATCAAATCAGTTAATGACTGAGTAATTCTACTGTGCCTTGATATGTATCATGAGCCCAGTCTGTTTAACTAGTTTGTGGTTGCAAATCTAGAAAATGGGTTAATTCAGTGGACAGGTTACATATGCAGTAACCAGAGGTGGGTTTCAGCAGGTTCTGACCAGTTCTGGAGAACCAGTAGTGAAAATTTTGAGTAGTTTGGAGAACTGATAGTAAAAATTCTGACTGGCCCCGCCCCCATCTATTCTCTGCCTCCCAAGTCCCAGCTGATTGGGAGGAAATGGGGATTTTGCAGTAACCTTCCCCTGCCACGCCCACCAAGCCACACCACGCCCACCAAGTCACGTCCACAGAACCGGTAGTAAAATTTTTTGAAACCCACCACTGGTAGTAATGGTAGGAAGTCAGCTATTTAGTTAGCAATATGGCCCACAAAACTGATTGAGACCACTTTTTAACCAAATACAAGCCAGTTCATACTATTCAAGGGGGTTGTTTCTGATCCACTGAAGATTGTTGATTGCTGTTCTGTTTAGAATTGTGTCCTTTTGGCCCCTTTTTACTATTTTTGATGAAAAAAAGACTGCTTGTTAGCTGCCAAACAAACCACCTCATGTAGAAAAAAATGGATAAGTCAAGATATTATCCCTAAACTAAATGTATTGTTGTTTTACACCAAAGCACTACCAGTATTCTGCTATTTTTATCACGATGTTAGGTTTTGTTTGAAAAGACTATTAGTTTCCCAGATGGACATGGAGTGGAAGTAATGTTTTAAATGAAAAACAAAACGTTGTTCATCTCGAGCCCACTGTGATTAGCCACCTAATCCTATAAGTCAGAGAGCAAAAGATGAACCCAACGTTATGCCTTCAGTTTTCATAGCCCACTTACTCTCCCAGCTAATTAACATGTTATTAAAATTCAGAGCACTCATCCTTATTTAAGCTGAAGTTTCTTGGAGTAACTGCTGACCTACCAGGGATTTTCCCAGGCTTGGCTCCAGTACCAGCACCTGTGGGAGCAAAAGAGACCAGTTGATACAGTGCAAAAGCCTCAGTCCAGCATACATATTTGTCTTTTTTTTTTTTTTGCTCTGGTCTACCTCCCCACCCAGATTCGAAAAGGAAATATTCTTAAGCAGTAGTGCAAAGGTGCTTTCTGTTGGATCGTGCAGTCTTTGTGAGATTGTGCAAGTCAAAATCAGGAAAAGTATTTCAAGAGTTAGTTAGAAAGGATTAATTTATTTTGGCCCAAAACAAATTAAAACACGGTGCGCTAAGGAGCAGAATTTAGCAGGCCACGATTTCAATCGGTATTTAATGGGCAATTTTATTTCATTTTATTTCATTATTAAATTTACATGCTGCCCATGTCATTCTGAAAAGTGATTCTGGGTGGCTTACAGTTAAAATCATAAATATTAAAATATTAAAAACATTAAATACAATACAGGAAGGCAAGAAGCAAATAAGGCAAAATTAATATGCTTCTCGGTTAATCCACCAACCAATTCCTACGTTGAACGACCCCCAACGCTATTGTTCTTTTATTATTAAACTCTTAAATTAAAAAAAAATACTGCAATTTGCATAAACTTATTAAACAACTTTGTGCTTGGTCACCTGTCAGGCAGGAAGAGAGGAACAAGAGATGAAATGTACAATCCTTGTGACTTATGTATTTATATCCAAGGTCAAGCCAAAAGTTTGAAAGGTCAGAACCTGCACCATGACATAGCAAATCACTTTTCAACATTTATTTTTTTTGTCCTTGAAGTCTGTAGGGGATGCCTGCGTCTTTGAGGGGTTTAAATGAGCAACTGCCCCAATCAGTGTTATAAGAGAACTTTGAGGACAGCTTAGTATATATATCCCAACTATAGTAACAGGATATCGCTGTCGTCTTATTACTCTTCATTCAAGGGGAAATTTTTACGGTTTGGATTGGGTTTCATGCCTTAAAAGTATAAAAACTATTCTCCCTTTGTCAGAGTGTGTTTAAGCCACTTCCTTTCACTCAATAATCAAGTTTGCATTTGCAAATCATGCTGTTGGTTGTGTGAATTTAGCTTGTTTAAGATTCCAAGTGTTCTGTGAATTCAAAACAACCTAAAACCTACAAATACAAATGCAACCAATGTAAGGTTGGTAGGCTGAGATGCACAGGAAAAATTCAGGAATATGATATGAAGATTGCCATCATCATGGCCTCATCTGTAATCACTGATTATTAGATTTCTGAAATCCCTGTTCTCCCTGTTTTTTAAAGCCCTCTAAAAATGGCATATTAACATCATCAAGTTGGTGATGCTAATATGCCATATGTCTTCTGTCTATTTACCCCACTGGCAGAAGAGAAATTTCAGAGGAGTCAGCACTTAACATCAATCCAATTGATACCACAGAAAAGCCACCCATCTCCAATTACATACAGTACTTCTTTTAAAAGAAGTAGTAATTGGAGATAGATGGCTTTTCCAGGGTATCATGATGATTTACACATAAAAGCTAGCTTCAAAGAACATGCTTAACCAAGTCATTTTTATGTCCTAATGGCAGCTTAGATAGTGTCTACTTTCATAAGTTCTTTGGTGATTTAGTGAACCCAGACCTTTTGGTTAGTTTATAACTTAATATACTGTTCTATTGTGGAAAGGTTCTTTATTTAAACTATCGTTTTCCCCACAATAGTACAAAATCAAAATTTGGGAAATTCAGTGACCAAGTTTATAGAGGCATCTGGTGGAAACTACCACAATGCCACAATGTCATTGCACAATGACCCAAAACAATGCAAATAGATATTTTATATTACAGTATTTCCATGATGGTGTCATGAGGCACATAATACCACTTGCTCTCCTTGCCCATGAACAAGACAAGTACATGAGGGGATGAAGCTGTAATAGAGAATTTTTGTTTCACTGTTTCCACCACACCATAAACTGCTTCTGTAACTTGATAAGCAAAGTCAAGAGACTGTTCATCCAACTTTCTCCTACTTTGAATCATGTGATTGGAAGAAATTGACATCGGACTTACTGAAGAACCATTCTTATTCAGAGCTAAGATTTTTGGGTGCAGAAATGTTGATAATATAATCATTCCATGTTAATAGACCTACCAGGTAATCCACCCACACCACCTCCAGGTAGTCCACCTATGCCACCTCCAGGTAGACCGCCTACTCCGCCTCCAGGTAGTCCACCTACTCCACCTCCAGGTAGCCCACCAAAGCCACCTCCAGGTAGTCCGCCTACTCCACCTCCAGGTAGTCCACCAAAGCCACCTCCAGGTAGTCCGCCTAGGCCGCCTCCAGGTAATCCACCTACGCCACCACCAGGTAGACCAAGTCCTGAAGATGATAAAACACACACTTATTGAGGTTTGAGGACTAGGTTGATGTTGGGATGAGGTTAATGATTCCCTTATATCTAGACTTCTTATATCTAAGAGGGGGGATATGGTTTAAAAATAGGAAATATAAATAAATAAAAGAAAAATATAAAGAAAAGAAAAAAATTATTCAGGATGACAGAAAATAGTATTTTCTGCTCCCACAGGAGTACTCGTCTCACTGTTTGCCAGCTCACACAAAGACAAAGAAGAGTTTTGTGAGAAGGAATAAAGAAAACACGAAAAATCAAGTTCTAGGGCATTATTTGAAGGAATTAAAGATCAAGATTGTTAGAAGTAAAAGGGAGGGATATAAAATTGGTTCATTTGATCAAGGCTAAAATAGATATGTTGTATCTCTGTTAACCTTTAATGGGATTTTGCTGGCATCAGAAATGAAATGATGAGGTTTTTATGATTTATTTATAGATAAGAAATAGGATATGGGAAGAGATCATTTGTTGTATTTTAAGAGAAGTTGATAAGTTATTATAATTGTTTATACATGTTATAATGAAGGGGAAAGTCACTTCTTTATATATTTTTTCTTTTAATTGTATTCCAATTTTTCCTTCCTTTCTATTTTTCTTTCAAGTTTTTCCTTTACTGCATCTTCTATTTTTTATTTTGTTCTTGTTTCTTTGGTTTGGGTTAGATTTTTTTATTATAAATGATAATCTGAAGAAGAAGAAGCAGAGGAGGCGGAGGAGGAGGAGAATGACATGAATGTTAAGCGAATCCATTGGTCCCCAAGGAGCATTTTTGTTGAAAACTGCAAGTAAAGTCTAGTTTTTGGCAAAATTATCATAATCCTGGCCATGTGACCGCAGGATTCGGCAAATGGCCATAAGCGCAGCCCGGTTGCCAAACACCCAAAATGTGTTTATGTGATCACAAGGGGGGAGTTTGGAACCAAGTTGCAAGTAGCTTCTGGAAGGTCTGCTACAACTTCGACCAGTCGCTAAGCATCTGTTTGTAAATTGAGGAGTAATTATATCAGGAATCACTAAGAGTTAGTTACCATCTATAAACCAAGATGGGGACAAGGCAGGTAAAGAGATGACCTTATAAAACCTTGGCATCCAATATCAAGAAAGCCAATAAAGGCAAAGAGGAATTGAATAGACCTCTGACTTCATCTATGATTTTTGTCCAAGTCTGGTCTGTGGCAAGACGAAATGGAATCAGAATACTGAACATGAGGTCAACGGCAGGGGTGAAATGCTCCCAGTTCAGACCGGATTGCCCAATCCAGTAGCGATGGCGGTGGGTGGTTCGGAGAACTGGTAGCAGAAATCCCTGCCCATCCCCCCCCATGCCCAGCTGAGCCGTACGATCATCAGAGGCTTTTTTTTTTTACTGTTAAAAGCATTTTTTCTACAAATGCTTTTAAAAGTAAAAAAAAAAGCCTCTGATGATCAGCTCAGCTGCATCGTCAGAGCCTTTTAAAAGCATTTTTTCTACAACCTCTTTGGCTGAAGAGGTTGTAGAAAAAATGCTTTTAAAAGTTTTAAAAAAAAGAAGTTGGACACGCCCACCCAGTCACATTACCCCCCCCCCCCACCAAGCCATGCCCACAGAACCGGTAGTAACAAATTTTAAATTTCACCACTGGTCAACGGGGAACAGCAACTTCGACTTACCAGCTTTAGCGGCGGCTTTATAGGCTGCAGCAGCAGATCCAGCAGGATAGGCACCTCCTGGATATAGGCCACCTGTAAAAAAAAAATGCACCATTTATTTTTGATGGGAACAATTGTGTGTGTCAATTGTTAACTGGGAAGCCCCAATTGAATTGAGACTCTATCTAAACTATGGGTTATTTAACTGTGGCTTACTGAATAAACCAGAGGTGGGTTTCAGCAGGTTTTGACCAGTTCTGGAGAACCGGTAGCGGAAATTTTGAGTAGTTCAGAGAACCGGTAGTAAAAATTTTGACTGGCCCCGCCCCCATCGATTCTCTGCCTCCCGAGTCCCAGCTGATCGGGAAGAAATGGGGATTTTGCAGTATCCTTCCCCTGGAGTGGGGAAGGAATGGAGATTTTACAGTATCCTTCTCCTGCCACGCCCACCAAGCCACACCCACCAAGCCATGCCACGCCCACCAAGCCACATCCACAGAACCACTAGTAAATTTTTTTGAAACTCACCACTGGAATAAACACTTGCTGTGACCCATTGCGTCATCGTTTCAGAGATATTTCCTTACCAGATTCCTCAATGCCTTCACTAATGGCAAAGCTTCTAATGTACTTGAAAAGTTCTTAAAAATTCAGAGAGATCTTCAAAGATGCATCCAGCTTGAAAGTAGCCCGCGGTGAACTGTATAGCTTAGTCAAACATCGGCATCTGAGCCCAGATGTTTTATGAACTTTTGTACTATAAAATGTTTTTATAATTTTTATGTCATGTTTTATAACATTTGTCCAAATTTCAATTCCATGGCAGTCGTGGGTCCCAAGGCCTGGACACTTTCTGTTAGTTATTGGAGGTACTTTGATTGAAAACATTTTGCCCTATGACGTACCATTTAAAGGTTATGGGGACTGTATAGGTAATATAATACAATATAATGCATACGTACATATACAGAATATACTGTATACAGTATATTGTATGTTGTTTGTGTTGTATCAATCAAATTTTATATAAGATGATACACAATATTGTTCTTTTGATAGGAGAAAAACGCTACTGGAATTCACAGAAGCTGGAAATTCTGGAAGTTGTAATCACAATACACTTACAGATTGTGGTAGGTGAAGATAGGTAAAAATTTCTTTCATATCGGATTTGACTCCTGTTGAATTCATGACTGTGTCTTTTCTTGCAACAGTATGGAATTAATTTGCTTTTGTCTTTTTTTTTAGAATGGGTTTGAAATTTCCTGATCTAGTCTACAGCCCTGTTGATTTCTGCTTAGCTATTTGGGTTCAACTCAGTGATGGGTTTCAATTTTTTTTACTACCGGTTCTGTGGGCATGGCTTGGTGGACATGGCGTGGCTTGGTGGGCGTGGCAGAGGAAGGATACTGTAAAATCTCCATTCCCACCCCACTCCAGGGGAAGGATACTGTAAAATCTCCATTCCCTCCCCAATCCAGGGGAAGGTTACTGCAAAATCCCCATTTCCTCCCGATCAGCTGGGACTTGGGAGGCAGAGAATAGATGGGGGCGGGGCCAGTCAGAATTTTTACTACCTGTTCTCCAAACTACTCAAAATTTCTGCTACCAATTCTCCAGAACTGGTCAAAACCTGCTGAAACCCACCTCTGGTTCAACTACAGTTGGCTAGATGCAGGTTGAGCAAGTTGAGCAACCTGTGAGGTTGAAGTGAAGCCTAGTTAGTGGAGACAATGACTCACCTGTTCCTCCAAGTCCACCTCCAATGCCAGCTCCTATGGAAGAACATCAAAAAAGAAGCAATTTTTCTCATGTCCCTTCATGAAGACCAAGGCCTTTATGGCAGGTTCCTCAGGATGTACACCCCTCTGGAAAGCCACAGCCTGATAGGGATAGCCCTTGTGTGAGAGAAGTATCTCTGCTGGCCTTATTTCAGCAGTGCAGCAGAAGGAAAGCTGGGATAGCAGCAGTTACCCAGTGACAAACTTTCATCTCCAGCATAGAAGCACATATGTGCACATCAGTGGTGGGATTCAGCCGGTTCGGGTGAGCCAAAAGTCAAATTACTGGCTGGCCCTGCCCCGCCCCTTCCCACCCCGCCCCTTCCAAGAGTCCCCACACGCCCCATTTTGGCTCCCAGGTAAGTGCAGGGAGGCCTCCTAGGCCCAAAACAGGGTGCGGGGGGGGATGCCCCCCGCGGCCTGTTTTTGCTCCCAGGAGGCTTCAGGGAGGCTTCCTAGGCCCAAAACAGGGCATGGGTGGGAGTGTTGCGTTCCCCCCTCCCATGGCCTGTCTTTGCTCCCAGGGGGGTGCAGGAGGCCGAGTGCTGTCACACCCCCTGGCCATGCCTGCCATGACCATGCCCACCCAGCCGGTTATTAGGGCAGAGAATCGGTTGTTAAATTATTTGAATCCCACCCAGTGATGGGTTGCCCCCGATTCACACCGGTTCTATACAACCGGTAGTAAAACCGGCGGAAGGCTCCGCCCACCGACCCCAATGTCATCAAAACGCTTCTGCGCATGCGGGCCCACTGTGAACCGGTAGTAAAGGTAAGTAGAACCCACCCCTGATCCCACCACTGGTGCACATGCAACACATGGATAAAATTCCTTTTTTTAAAAAAAAATGTTTGTCTATTCCAGGGACCACCTGCAACTCTGGAAAATAGACTAGGCTGAGAAACCTTGCCTGGGAGTATTTCCATAATACTGTATTTCCACTCCCCATTTCTTCCAAAGCCAACTTAAAAAATGTCTGCCACTCTCTTTGTGACTGCCAAGTTCACAATGAAAAAAAAGAGCCAAAACCATTTCTCTGCCCTGAGTTGCCTTGCATCCTTAGAATCCCTCACCACCCTTGTGTTTACAGTACTGTACAGAAAAGAATCTGGCAATTTCACTCCTCCTTTTCCTCAGGTTACTGAGGTGAGATGCAAAGCAGGAAAACTACCATTCCTCTTACAGGACCTTTTAGATGGCTGTGGCAGCTGAGGTTGAACATCACAGCGGTATGGAAGTGATTCAGAAGTGGTGCAAACTCTTCATGTAGAAGTCTGGATCAATGAACTTCATGACAGTCGTATGTATGTATGTATGTATGTATGTATGTATGTATGTATGTATTTATGAGTGGTGGGAATCTACCAGTTCTACGGGTGAACCGGTAGCGGTGGCAGCAGAAGGCTCCGCCCACCCACCCACCAGACGTCATCACAGACGCTCTGCACATGTGCAGAGGTGGCACGCACACTCACATCTGCAAAACAGTAGCGAAGTTAAGTGAATACCACTACTGGTTATGTATGTATGTATGTATGTATGTATGTATGTATGTATGTATGTTATTTATTTATTTATTTTCCTTGACTATTATTTTTTAGAAGTAACTCAAGGCAGAGAACATACATAATACTCCTTTCTGCTCTTATTTTCTCCACAGCAACCCTGTGAGGTGGGTTGGCCTGAGAGAGAAAGCCTGACCCAAGGTCACTTTGTTGGCTTTCATGCTCAAGGCAGGACTAGAACTCAGTCTTCTGCTTTTTAGCCTGATGCCTTAACCACTAGACCAAACTGGCTCATTTCCAACCAGACTTCTTATGAGCCAGCTAGGCAACTGTTGATTTGTGCAGCTTTTTGGAAGCGCCACCTAGGCTAGCAGGCAGGCATCACCACCAAGATGTGACTATGAATTTGATCATTATTTGTCAATTGTGACAGAATCATAGAACTATGGAGTTGGGAGGATCCCCAAGGATTACTTAGGCCAAATCATGCAATTTGTAGGAAAATTAACTTAATCATCTGTGAGAGGTGGCTGTCCAGCCTCTTCTTGGAAAACAGTCTCTAAGGGTAGATTGTTCCCCTGTTGTACAGATCTTACCATCAGGAGTTTTTTTTCCCTTTATATATTTTCCTTTGCATTTCTTACATATGCACATTTCATTGGATACCACCAAATTCTACCCTCTTCACCCCAAAATAAGACATTTCCTGATAATAAGCCCAATCGGGCTTTTGAGCACATGGCAATAAGGCCGAGTGCTTATTTCAGGGTTCAAAAAAATATAAGACAGGGTCTTATTTTCGGGGAAACATGATAGCATTATCAGGGAGGAAGAAGAGATGCTTATTTGCTCTACTGTATGTATTATTTTTCAAAATAGCATTATTTTATAAGCAAACCCAGCAAGGAATCTTGTTCTATTCCATTAGGGACTTACCTGTGCCGCCGAGTCCCCCTAGGCCTCCGATGCCAGCTTGTCCTGCAGAAAGCAAGGATTTTAAACAATTCTTAGTCATTTCAATAAAGCGTATAAAACACTAGCCCCAACCATGATATTATATTAGTTGTCCCCCCCCCCCAAGTTGGAGTTCTGAGCCAAGTATGTTCATATCTGTATTGTGCACTTCCCAGTTAAGGGAATTTGACAAAACATTCTGAAGAATGTTTTTTTTAAAGAAATGGGCATATATAGATTCATTTAGCCACTAATAACATCCCAAATTTTGTGAAGAAAAGAAATAGCACAATAGGGTAATAATTAAGGCAAGGAAGGAAATGAGCTTGCAGATGGTTTTTGGATAAAATGATAAGTGCAAACAAATTGCCAATGAAAGCAAGATAAGATCACACAGTGATTTACATTTTTTTTAGTGTTCCCCAATGATCTTTGCAAACTCTCCTAAGGGAAGAAATAAGAAGTCAGAATCTGCCTGGATAGATCATGACAGATTCCCTACTTCCACTCCATGTGAAATACCAACATTGTTATGAACCTATTTTATAAATGCATATTTGGTACAAAGTTAGAAGATTTTAATCTATCTAGGGAATAGTCCCTATATTCTAAGGTAGATATGGAAAAAGGCATCCTTGAAACATTACAGAATGCCATAATTTAAAGTGGATCCACCTAGATCAGTGTTTCTCAACCTTGGCAACATTCACACATGTATGGACTTCAACTCCCAGAATTCCCTAACCAGTGATGCTAGCTCAAGAATTCTGGGAGCTGAAGTTCACACATCGGAAAGCTGTAAGCTTTCACTGATCAAGAGGATAGATGGTGCCCTCTGAAACATAAGTCCCCACACTGAGTTACGTGATATATTTTTTTATATCGGAAAATGCCTGGGATATTATAATTTGTTCTGGCATCTGCTGCAACATGTAGAAATATACTATTCTAAAGTTCCCATCCCATTTTCTTGTAGTGGAAAACTAAGAAAAATAGTTGTGTTGCTCATGTTATAGGTATAAGTCACTCATGCAAATTAACATTTTCTCCATTCACACGGAAGAAAAAACTCTGAATATTCCAGTGATGGCGAACCTTTTCGGCATGAAGTGCCGAAAAGGGAGCGCGTGGGTGGGGGCACCAAGTGCCGAAAAGAGAGCACTTCGCGCTCATGCTTGTCAGAGCCATGACCAGGAAGAGGAGCTGCCAGGGGGCATGCGCGAGTTGGATAAGGTACTTCCAGTTTCCGGTGCACTTGCCTTCCGGTTACTGCCACGCATGCGCACACGCTGATCAGCTGGCCGGCGTGCATCTCACGCTGGAAAACGGAAGACCACAGTTTCCAGCACTGCTGCATGCACAAAGGCCAGCTGATTGTTGCATGCACATGAGCATGTGCGCCAGAAACCGAGAAGAGGAACGGGCAACATTGCGCGTGCCAGGAGACATGGCTTCTTGTGTCATAGGTTTGCCATCACGGGAATATTCCATTTCACCTCCCTCAAATAAGTTCATTATGCAGAATAAATAAGCAAATGAATAAATAATGGTCTTCTCCCTGGCTGCTTCTTTTCTAGTCCAATGTTTGAGTTTGATTGAAATTGGTATTGTGAGTAGGCACACACAGTGCATCACCAATGTTGCACAATCATGGCATCTCTAACACTTAGGATGGTGCTAATTCTTACCTGGGTAGAACCCTGCTCCTGGAACTCCTGCTCCAGCACCTGGAACCCCTATCAATAAAATAAGAGAGAAAGAGAAGTTGTTTTTGGATTGCATGGAGAGCACAGATGGTACCCAGTCTAGTCATGTTTTTAACTTCACTTCAGTGGGCAACAAACAGTGGCCGCTTGTTCCTGGGGAGAAAAGCTATGGCAAATCTAGACAGCATACTAAAAAACAGAGACATCACCCTGCCAACAAAAGTGAATATAGTCAAGGCTATGGTTTTCCCAGTTGCAATGTATGGCTGTGAAAGTTGGACCATAAGGAAGGCTGAGCGCCAAAGAATTGAGGCCTTTGAACTATGGGTGCTGGAGAAGACTCCTGAGAGTCCCTTGGACTGCAAGACGATCAAACCAGTCAGTCCTAGAGGAGATCAACCCTGACTGTTCTTTAGAAGGCCAGATCCTGAAGATGATACTCAAATACTTTGGCCACCTAATGAGAAGGAAGGACTCACTGGAGAAGAGCCTAATGCTGGGAAAGTTTGAGGGCAAAAGAAGAAGGGGACAACAAAGAATGAGGTGGCTGGATGGAGTCACTGAAGCAGTAGGTGTGAGCTTAAATGGACTCCAGAGGATGGTAGAGGACAGGAAAGCCTGGAGGAATGTTGTCCATGGGGTCACAATGGTTCGGATACGACTTCGCAGCTAACAACAACAACAACAACAGTGGCCAACCAAAAGATTAAGCAGTTTTGGGATAAAGCCTGCCTCCCTTCCCTGTTCCTGCCTGTTATTTTTTTTCCCTGCCTCTTCCTTGTTCATGGATGTTGACAGGGAGGGGGCAAAAAAGTCAAGACAGTGATTACAACCAAGTGATCAAAGGACCAGAAACCAAGATGGTAGCCACAACCAGTCGGCCGAAATCTGCTCTATTTTACATGTGTTGTGATGTGCCATCTACATTTTCCTGAGCGCACCCAGCCTCAAAAGCTAAATGAACGGGTTTGATTCACTCAACGTGCTAAACCACTAAACAGAACAAAAACGATCTGATTTTGTTGTATACTGCCCAGAGTCACCTGTATGCAAAATGAGCAGCTATATACATTTGACAAGTAAATAAAACACCCCGACCAAGAAGTAAGTCTTATAAGTGCCATTAGATTATTAACTTAAACTCTTGTGCAAACATAACTAGTAAATTCAATAGAGTTAAGACAAATATTTTATTTTATAAACATATACACACACATATTTATGCATGTAATCTCATCCTTCATTCAAAACTAATAGAAAACCATTATCAAAGTCACCTGCATAACGGCAGAAATGCAGATGGCATAAATGCAGTTTGAATTTCAAGACTTGTAAATGTATGATTATTTAAATATACCTCCAAAGGTAAATATACATATACACGAATCCAGCAGCTGTCTTGTTATTTAACTCCAAGGACTAGCATTAGTTAGAACATAGAATAATAGTGTTGGAAGGGATCTTGGAGGTCTTCTAGTCCAACCCCCTGCTTAGGCAGGAAACCCTACACCACTTCAGACAAATGGTTATCCAACATCTTCTTTAAAACTTCCAGTGTTGGAGCATTCACAACTTCTGGAGGCAAGTTGTTCCACTGATTAATTGTTCTAAGTGTCAGGAAATAATTCTCAAATAATGTCAAATTCTCTTTGAAAGCCTCCAGTGATGGAGCACCCACAACGTCTGAAGACAAGCTATTCCATTGGTTGTTCCTTCCAATAAAACTTTAATTCCTTCTAGCCACCTGTGCACATTGCATGGCAGAACCTAATACAACCCATGCTTGTTGCCACATGTTCTCCAGCCCCTCCTTCCTCTTGCTGACACTGTGGCTTCTTTCCCCTTAAATAAACACTTGTGTTTGTGTTTAAACGCAGCATATTTTGCCTTGGGATTCAAACAATGGGCTGACCTCTTTCAGCCAAGAGAATGCTGCAATGGCAGAAGCAGCTTTTATGGCCAAAGAACAATTAGTTTGTGTTTAGATGTGCAGGCACGCATTAGGACTACCAAATCCAGGCTGCAAATATTCAGATGACCACTAGATGTAACAAATGTTTCCAGCCCAGTTTCAGTAGCCTTCACACAAACACATGGATGCAGATTTTATGGGGAAGGGGGGAAAAAAATAAAAGGAAGACTCAGCAGAAAATGTAATTATTGATAGGAACTGGATTGACTAAAGGCAGGGTTTTCATTCGACTCAGCATTAGACAACTTCAGGCCCATAATATTTTTCTGGTGCCCAATCCAGCTTCAACATATATGAAATAAATATATGATTCCAATACGCATATACAGAGTGCATTTGTCTTCTAAGCATAAAAGCAGAGGCATGCATCAAATTATAAATGTAACTTGCAGAACTACTGGCACTTCACATTCTGTAAATGAGAAAAGCCAATTTCTGGAACTGCTAAAGCAGACTAGGGGAAGACGTCATTTGGGGTTGGAAACACATCTGAATGCAGCCAAAGAGTAACATCCTTGTGTCAGTGATAGGACAGGGCTAGCAGGGCACAGAAAGCTTATGCAGAGAATCCCAAAGGTGCTTTTTAAAAAGGCAACTGGATTTTGTTGTTCCTTGAAGATGTTTCACTTCTCATCCAAGAGGCTTCTTCAGTTCTGACTGCATGGTGGTGGATAGATAAAAAGAAGCTTTTTGAATGAGAAGCGAAACGTTTTGGTGGCGCAGTGGACTAAGTGCTGTTAAAGTAGCACTTAGCTGCCAGCTGCCTGCAATTACTGCAAGTTCAAATCCCACCAGGCTCAAGGTTGACTCAGCTTTCCATCCTTTCGAGGTAGGTAAAATGAGGACCCGGATTGTGGGGGCAATAAGCTGACTTTGTATAAAAAAAGAACACCGCTGGGGGGGCGGGGTGAAAGCCCTACTAAGCACATATATACAAAAGAATGAAGGCTATTGCTTAATGCATTGTAAGCCGCCCTGAGTCTCCGGAGAAGGGCGGCATATAAATCGAACTAATAAACAAACAAACAAACAAACAAACAAACAACAAAAATCCAGTTGCCTTTTGAAAAAGCACTTCTGAGACAACCATGACCTTGGTGACTGAGAATCTCCATCGATACACAGATAAATTGTTCTGACACCCCACAGAGACAAAAAGGGTATATTACCCCCTTTCTGACATCAAAGAGTGCTCCATATTTGCCACCACCTCTTGAGAATAGAATAGAATAGAATAGAATGGAATGGAATGGAATGGAATGGAATGGAATGGAAGGGAAGGGAAGGGAAGGGAAGGGAAGGGAAGGGAAGGGAAGGGAAGGGGAATGGGCAGGGGCACGGGCATAGGCATAGGCATAGGCATAGGCATAGGCATAGGCATAGGCATAGGCATAGGCATAGAATAACAGAGTTGGAAGGGACCTTGAAGGTCTTCTAGTCCAACCCGCTGCTTAGGCAGGAAACACTATACCATTTCAGACAAATGGTTCCCCAACTTCTTCTTAAAAGCTTCCAGTGTTGGAGCATTTACAACTTCTGGAGGAAGTTGTTCCACTAATTGTTCTAAATTTCTCCTTAGTTCTAGGTTGCTTCTCTCCTTGATTAGTTTCCACCCATTGCTTCTTGACCTGCCCTCAGGTGCTTTGGAGAATAGCCTGACTCCCTCTTCTTTGTAGCAGCCCCTGAGATATTGGAACACTGCTATCATGTCACCCCCTAATCCTTTTTTTCATCAAACTAGACTTCTACCTGTGTTTCCCTGAAATAAGGCTCTGTCTTATATTTTTTTGAACTCTGAAATAAGCGCTTGGCCTTATTGCCATGCGCTCAAAAACCTGATTGGGCTTATTATCAGGGGATGTCTTATTTTGGGGGAAACAGGGTATTACATGTTGTTCCTCCATCGGACACAGAAGACATTTATTTACTAAGCCAGTCCTGGAAAGAGTATTAGTCAACTGAAGCTAACAGTTATAGAGCAACAATTGCTGAGAATCTTTTTTTTAAAAAATAAATCTAATCCAGATCTAGTTACTTACAGCACAGCAATGACTCAGCCACATTTGCTCTCTTGATAAGTGGTTATGGCAGGTTTCCTCAAACCTGCCATCCTCCTGCTGTCTTGGATTACAAGGCACACTACTTCCAACTAGCCTGGCCAATGGCCCGGTTGATAGGAGCTACAATCCAGCACATCTGGAGAATGTCAGGATGGAGAAGACTGGCTTCTAGGCTAAGATTGAGGGACAAGAAAGGAAACTATCACAGCGCACTAACATTTAGCATCTACGCTTGCTCATTGAAGGCTTGGAAGACAAGCTGAATAGCCCCACAGGGCAAAACAGGAACTGTGCTTTATCCAGGGCAGTTGGTGAATTTAGATTGTAGGCAGCTCCTGCAGAGGTTGAAATTGGATGTTGGTTAATCAAAAAGCCCAAGTAACTGGGTATCAACACCATACTAAAACCATGTTATGTTAAATCATATCTAAACCACAATTGTTTTGAGTTTGCACACCATACTAAAGTTGATTCTTTTTGTTACCCAGCCCAGAAACTCAGCTTGCTTGTTTAGCCTAACCCTAACAAACCTAGCAACTTAGCATGTTGTAGAAATGTGTTCAAAGAGAAATCCTGGGGTTGGCTTACATTCAGTTCTCTTCTCAGGAACTGGACAGAATGTTATTTTTTTTTAAAAAGCCAATGATTTAGCAACCTCAAAGGAGTCCAAATTCATGAGACAAAGTTCAATACACAACACGCCCTCTGAATATTTAACAAAAAGCACCATCTTCCTGACTGCCCTTACTCTACAAATTGGCCTCCTTCAATCTAGGCCTCTGCGTGACTATTAAATTACAATTTCCATGATTCCTACCTAAGACCCTGCTGAGCGGCTGGCAGCAAATCAATCAGGGGGTGTTACGGTTTAACATATGTGGAAGGCCTCGGATTGAAGAGAGCTATTTTGCAGTTCAAACGTCTTTGGCGGCAAATATTTACTATCCGGATAAACAGCGAGAAGAATTGAAGAGGAGTTGACATCTGCAGCCTGTGCA